TCGGATAGAGATGGTTTTTTTTTACTTGCGGTAAAAAAATAAATCAAATTGTTCCATTGGACTAAGGTGATTTTCTTTCTTTTAATTTTGACCCATATTCATATTTTTTTTGTTACAATCGGTCGCATAACCGGAACAAACGGACAATAGTCGATAAGTAAATCTAATGACGGTAGTCTGACGCATCATCACACCAAATAAAATACCATAATAATAACAAGTAACAACACTATAGCAGCTATTGTTGGGTTTTTACTCATACCGATGAAATATAACAATAAAAATTACACTGAAAACTCCAAAAGGAAAATCGGATCGGTTTTGAACTTAAACTTGAGAAAAATTATTAAAACTATGAAAATTATACAACAATTTTGTTGGCTGAATACGTTTCGGAGTGATTCATCATCGGATGGGTTTTATTGAGTGTAGTCATATAATAAGTAATGGCGATTATAAACGGCGTGCTAGGTACGGATAAGGTGTGGTAAAAATGTCAGGAAATTCTTAAAGATAATAATAATATAATATAATATTTCACGGTTTTTAGGTGGGTTGCACAGCTGTAATGGCAGCCTTTTTCAACTGTATCAATTCATAATCAATCATACGAATGGTGTTATCCAAAAGCATAGTTTCGATTAGATTTGACATTGAAGTAAAAACAAAAAATTGTCGGTTCTACACTTTAAGTTGTAACTTTTGTACCTGTAAATCGATTTGTCCAGATGTTGAGAAAATATACCAAAGTATTTTAAACATAACTGTAAACTGTGAATTGATTGATTCGCTAATAGTATGTTTTGCTCCAAGGGGCCCACCAATTCCAATCGTATCAGGTCATGTTTTTTTTTTACCACGAGCATCGATTTTAGTGTATAAGTGTCTACAACAGTTTATATTAGGTAATATATAGTGTAATACACACTAATCAAAACGTTATTTCAGGTTTTAAATAGAACGGAACACATTTTATGAAGCAGAATTCTAATACAATTTTTCGAGCCTGGGCCAACGCCCATTACTACTTAAAGGTTAATAATTGTATAATAGTTCAAAAGGTGCCTCACACCTCCTTTATGTAAAAAATCTCAAATTAAATGTTGAAAAACTGGCATTCGCCCGAAAATATGGGTTTGTTTTTTAAACCTACATTAAACTTAACTGGGTCAAGCTTTTTTTAATTAAAAAAAAAAGACATGTTATTGCAAACTCTGATCAGTACAATTTATTTAAGTGAATACTTGTAAAAAACACAAATTGATGTTTGTTCAAGACAATTCGTTTGCTTCATTTTACAAATATTATTACATTTTTAAAGGCAAATCTGATATTTAATAGATATTGAATTTATATTAACCCGAAGTTATTCTGAGACATAAACACAGCCTTGGCAAAACATAGCAGTTGCCAATTCATGATTTATGTTTATACATTTTTTTATCATATATTGCTGATGTATAATATTATCTAATATTATCTAATATTATCTAATATTAGTTTTCAACATGTACACTTTGAACGGAAATCGTCGAAAAGAAAGCCACCGATTAAAATGATAAAGTAATAAATCTCACACGCAGTTGATGTTGAAAAACATATTTTTATAATGATTTAACGTGCCTATTTTGATTTACTACTCGGCTAATCTGCAACATATGTCTCTCCTTGAAACAATTATCAACTTTCCAATTCCCCATCTGGCTTCCAAAATGTATTAAATTCATTCAGTCATCGTCCCATTACAATTACTGGCGTTGTCGATACCTAAACGATAAATGGTTAAATCGACTGAACCGAGCTTTCGAGAAACATCATAGTCATAGTTGAATCTTTTTAAAAAAGGTCATGGTCATGTTGGTTAGATTTATAATTTATTGTTTTTTAAACTGTTTTAATTTTTACACGTTTAAATGGTCCAATTCAATTTAGCCAACAATCACTCTTAACCAGAGGAGGTCATTGGCGTGGGCCAATCTGAAAACGGGAATTTCACAAATGACCCAATTAAATCTGTTATCGACACCTTTTTTTTAGCAGGATTTTTTGAACGATCCCTTATAACTACAATACAATTTGATTAAAGGTAAAAAAAAAAAACGTTTCTTTAAAACACATTTTATAACCGAAATCAGTAATTCCCAAGTAACTGATAATAATATAAGATTTTAGATAAGAAAATCAGCTGATAAGAGAGCAAATCGTCTGACCAAAAACATGTTCATGATCTAGTCTTCCTTTAAGGGAAAAATTGAAGACGTTTTAGTTAAGACTACAGCCTTTTTCTTCTCGTCTGATAACTTAAACCTAACCAAATTTTTATCGAGTACTATACATTTTCTTTTGGAAACAATCGGCGTTTAAAAAATGTTAAATTGTTTTATTGTTTCAACGCAATAACAATAAATAACCTGAGCTAATTGTGAGCGTTATTGCACATTGTAAGCAAAAAATAATTACTATGTAAGGACAATTACTATGAAAATAATAATAAGTAGGTTCTCGTCATGGACCATTATTATTGCATTCTGTGTATCAACTACAGTGCACAACAATTATTAATCGCTAACCGAATAATAATTGACCGTTTATTTGGAAACTGTGATTCTTTGTGTGTTTTTTTTTTCAATTATTCGATATTTTCCTCCGAAAACTGGTCATCGGCATTCGTGACATCGAAGCCCATAAAGATAGGACTAGTCGCTAGAATAATCTGTGTGCACAGTCATTAGTCATTACAGTGTATGTAAATTCAATGCAAATGATAATAATATAACAAAACGGACTTGCACCTGTACTCGAGAGTACGTCAGAAATTATAAGAATATTTAAAAAAAAATTTAAAAAAAGAGTTGTGTGTATAGAAGATGTTAGTTCATATTGTTTTTTGTTGTATAAATAAACGAGTCTAAGTAAAAATGGCAACAAGCAAAACGGTCAGAAAAATTGGTCAAGGAAGTAGGTTCAATAAAAAAATGACTAATTTTTTTTTTGCCATTTTTTATAACAATATAATATTTTTGATAATTAAAATAAATATAAAAACATGACACCATAATTCGTCATCGCGATTATATAAACATATAAATAAATAGGCCACAATATTAAGTTAATCATTATATAATACACAACTATTAGTAAGGAAATAATTATCAAACATTACTAATACAAAAAAAAACCGTGTAGAGCAATATTTGAGTTGAAGCTAATAGTTAGTTTGTTAATTAACGGTTTTAATCGTGTGTAAAAATACATAAATTTATAATCATGAAAGTTAAATTATTATTCAACTTTTGTTTACCAAGACATTTTATTACAACTTGTTTAAAACGTGATTGGTAAATCAACTTTTAATAATGATTTAAGAACAACGTACCAATTGGTTTTTTTTAATTGTCGCTTTAAAAAAAAATATCTTCATTGAACGACATATTTTTATATTAAATCAATTGACTCCAAATTTGGGTTAGCTTATTTTTACACTACACAGGATAAGAGAAAAAATTGAAAAACGATTGTTTACCTAAGCCGGTCAATATAAAATAATTAAAAACATAAACCATAGACAATATTATACCTAAGTTAAATTAGTCAAGACCAAAAAATGAACGAATAATGGGGAAGAGTAGTTGAAATTTATTAACAAAATAATTATAAAAAACTGCGCATAAATAATATATAAAATTGGAGATAAACTGTTATTTGGAGTAAATATTATTTTTGGCCGTTTCATCCGTCGAATAGGTATATTATATATTTTCTTCTTTTAGCAAATAATATTATTAATCTTTGGCCATTTCACGTGTGTCTCTATTTTTACCGATTGTTATCAAAATACAAACGCAGCAGCTGTGGATTTCGCCGGGAGTTTTACCGGAAATAACGGATTAAAAACGTTCAAGTGATAAAACATGTACTTATATACAATGGTTATTATTATCATCATCGAAGGGGAAAAACAAAACACAAGTGCAACGGCGATTGTAACAACACATAGTGGAATTAACGCCAAATTAAGTCATACGGCACCACACGGATATGACCTTGAAGTCTTATAATGAAAGTGAAAAATATAACCGTTACGGATTTGAATGTATTGATTTTGAGTTCGGCTTTAATTTGAAAACGAGGAAAAAAACAAAAAAACAATATTCCAAATCTGCACGTCCAAAGATAGAAATATTTACATATAGTGATGTTATTTTATTAATATTATTATACATACCTATATCCGGCCCGGACCGGAAGAGGTCACACACTGTATAAATATTATTTAGTTTATAAATAATAATAGTTTATCTAAGTCGCTGTACTAGTTTTCGGTGGGCGGTAAATAAATCCGAACAAGACATAATAACATTATGATATATATTATCATTACGCTTATTTACATACAATGCCGGACAGACGTTTAATTGCCGAGAAAAATCACTGCGCGTCTAATTTATTGCATTTGATCTTCGAAGCGTTGAGGTGCATTTTTAAAAAAAAATCATTTTATATAGATCCGATATCAACCTAACTGGGTACGAGGTCAAAAAACGGGACGGGCGAAAGTCTGCTGCAGGCCTAACGGCGGCGGGTTATTAGGTTTTCTGGCTAATAATAATACATCATAATACTATCATTATCATTTAGTAGACACCCATTTCTCAATGATCTATTTAAAAGAATAAAAACCGTACAGCACCGGCACGCTTAAATGCTTACCTATGCGACACAACTCGTTATCGTTGTGCTGCACTCAAACGTGTTAAAATGCAAGAAAAACAAAAATAAAACTATTATTTGCATACTCAATTAGCGAGTCGCATTAATGCATTGATTTCAGTCACTCCCATCCTACGATTGAGTATAGTTGAGTTTTTTCAAAGCTAAGCAAAAAATCCACCTGAGAGTCAAGTAATAATATACCAGACCAATTGTGTCGCCTCCGAAAATCGATCCGGGCGTTGGTCCCTCGGCGTGGAGAGTAATATTGTAATAATGTATGTACTCACTTTTTGAACGTGGTCTCGTACTCGTTGATCTGTTTGCGGGAGAACTCCTTGAACTCGAGGAACACGTTTTTGGAGCCGACGCGCCGGAGAAACTGCGGCACCACCGGCTTGCCGTCCTCCAGCGCCTCGTTGATCTGTTGCCTCCTGTTCAACACGGCCGAAAGTTCACCCTCAGCCGTTTCGCTGGGCGCAGCCGATTCCGTCGTGGTCGTCGTCGTCGTCGTAGTCACGTCCATCGCACTGCTCTGTCGACCACACACTGTCCCGCCTGATAGATGCAAAAAACGTGCGCACACTGTACAACACGGCCAGCGGCAGCGGTCTCGGCGGACGCGTTCGATCGTCGTTTTTGCGCATGCGTCCGCCGTGTACCATAATATTGTATAACATACATAATAGCTTTAATATTGAAATTAATCAATAATTATTATTATTATTTGGGTTGACTTTTTAAATGTAAAATTGGCTTTTACCTGTGAATGACCCCGTAAATTTACCCGCAGAATGATATAATAAAAATAATAACTGGTCGATAACCAGTTTCAGTTTCAGATAAAATATAGGTACTTCCCGAGTTATTAGCATTTAAAAAATATGGCCTGGATGGCAGATAATTGGTAAACTAATGTTATAGATATTCAAAACAAAACAATTTTACAGAAAAATAAATTTATAGTTTAAATTTGTCGTGTTATAATAGCTTTTCCTTATTATTTACTCCACACATGATGTATTTAGGGTTGCTTAAATTTCTTTTATGTTGAGTTAAGTTCACTCTTGTTTACAACCTGGTTTTCTCATTTAAAGCCCAAACAAAGGGTGGGGCGTTGGAACATCATTTTCAAAACTCTGTATCTCTAACCCTTTGTTTGGATGTTTGTCCTATCTTCATTACATTGTGACAAACTTAGACGGTATTGTTCTTTATTGACATTTACTTTTTTTCTTGATTTTCATTATTAGTAGAATCTTTTTCTACACAATTCATCCAATTGGAAGTATTAAATTTTCTATAAAATAAACGTAAAACGTGTATCGATTCTCCGATGAGTAGCTAACTCATTTGTGAAATATCTATGGGAAAAAATGTAAATACAAATTAAATTTATTTTTAACTCCTTAATACTTCTTGATTTTATAAATGACTTATGTATGCCCACCATTGAAAATGGCGTACACAGTACATCTAATACCATTTAGTTCACATGTAGGTTAACCTAGTGGGCTTTTTAAGTTTTGACATAATAATTTATTTATTTATTTTTTAAATCGATAGCAATTAATTATATTTTTTTAGTCTTGTTTTCTGTAAGCTCGTTCGTTATTAATAAAATCGTTTAATTTGTTTTATTCTATTATAGTACATAACGTTTTCCATAGTCTCCATTCTTTGACGTTTCTAAACTGATTTGAGTTCTTGACATTTTACACATCGCAGTGTGTTCACGGTAGACGGCAGAAGACCTTGTAAAAGGAAAAAAGGCAATTGCCAATTATTGCCTTTTGCTCTCATTACAAAAGTTGCCCTCTGGATAGGTCAGGTACCTAAAAAAAATTATTAATAGAATATATAAATGTGTTTACAGTTATTTGGACATGATAATGACTCACAACCCTTTCCAACGTTTTTATTTTGTTATTTTATGCCCTACAGCGCAACATAAAGGGTCGTGTGGTAATAACCAATGGTTTTACAAAAAAAAAAAAATCAATGCTTCTACTAACTACACGGTTTTTTAAAACAATTTGGTTTGTCTGTTATGCAAATTACCGGATTTTGCCGCCACCGAAAAATCGATAACAGCTCGCGGATTAACGTCTACTACATTTTGACCGTTTCGAATTCACAAATTACACCAAATCAAATGTATAATATATATTTTTTTTAACTAACTAGTATTGTGTTGTACTGACCAAAACAGAAAAAAACACACTATTTTGTTCCGCCGAACTCTTTTTAAATTATCCCAAAATCCAACTTAAACGTTTGCAATTATTGGCAAGTTTTCACACATTCATTTACCGACGGCCATATTAAGTCCAGAACAAGTTTTAAAACAGAATTTCAGAAATACGCAATGAATTTACTTGCATGTAAAGTTACTTACATAGTATTTAAAAACAAAAATGATTTGAACAATAGTTTAGTGTGTACCAAAGTTTTATTAAATTTTAATAATCTTAAATTGCGCCTATAAGTGATGATTGCAAAGTAACATTCAAATAAATATACCTAGCATTATTGGTTATTCGTCTTAGAGATTATAAAAACAATACAAATATTATTGGATTTTTTTTTTTGACAAATAAAAGTATTATATAATTGAATTTTTTTGAATAAATTACAAACAACATTAATCGAATGGTTTTATCCGTTCGATAACAATTAATTTTTTTATTTTATTGAAACGATTTTTTTTTCACTACTTAATTTTATTCTACCTGGAAAAATAGAAGTTATATTAAATAAAGACAAAAGTTTATAGCCAACGAAACATAAGCACCAGTGTTTGATGTTTGTACAATATATTTTTAAATATATTATTATGAGTTTAGTTATTACTTGTTACTCGTATTCGTCACTTTCCTTTAGTTTCTTATGTTAACTACTATTATTATTGAATTGTTTTTGTATTTTTCTTAGTTGTTAAATATTTACCTATAACTGTGCGTTTCGCTGTTGGTATTCTTTGAACAAACAATTAATGAATAATAATATAATAATATTATAACGAATCGGCCTTCGTGTTTACCATAATTTTTAATGAAGTTTTAATAGGCCGTAATGAATATTACATTTCAATAAAAATAAAACAATTACACGACTATCCGATCACAAAAAATTAAATAATATTATTAAGTATAAGGTTAAATATCAATAATAGTAGTCGGTAAAACAATTACTGTGTATGTTTTGTTTACGTTTAAGACTTTCTCCGTGGACAATTATTATTTACATTGACCAATCAATAATCATATTATTATTAGCTTATATGTTTCTTAACACTTTTTGGCATGAGATTCAGCAAAACATTTACAGCTCTCTCGACAATGTTGTAGGTATTTAAGTTATAACCCGATGATCTTTTTATTTTTGATTATTTATTTATTTTATTGAAAAAACTCTTTTACCTCACCTAACGTGCGGTCACACCCTCATTCTTGTCCGAATAGTATTACCTACTATAGCTGTATAATAGTTCTTCATGCGTTATCCTAGATAACTTATACCGAATGACCTGAATATCACTGCAAATACTGAATACACTTATGAAATATATATATATATATTGTAAGAAAATGACTGCCATAAAAATGTGATGTTTTTTTTTTATGTGTTGTACTCCAAATCACCTTCTAATTTCGTCCAACCGTTTTTGTATAGGTTTTTTTTTTTTTTTTACTTAGGACCATAAGCAGCCGCAGAGTAAGCATCAAAGAAAAGCAACAGATTTATCAAATTCCATATCTATTTGGTCGTCCGAGACAAATTAAAAATTTCCTCAAATAATCGTCTCGGGGAATCCAAAAAGAAAGCGTTAATGGCGGCAATTTATTAAAAAACTTTTAAACGGATTTTGATTTCTTTTGCTGACGTTCGACGGTTTACTATGTCTTGACTATGTCAATATGAAAGTGTGACCCACAGCAATACATCCGCTCATCCTGTCCAAACCGATTAAGTTTAGAAATAATTAAATTTCGTTGAACCCTTTGGACGACCGATATGATGTCTGCGAAATTCCACAAGCAACCCGTTAACGCAATCGGTATAGCCTTATTTGAATAAAATATAGGACCCCTCGAGGACTTCTCCCTTTAGGTGCTGAACGTCGAGAATTCATTGAGTTTATCTAATTATTATCAAATAATAATATGATAATGATAGCAGCGAAAGTAGGTACTTGAGTGTGCTCGACGGGCGCAATCTGCAATGCATTCTATAGGGTTATAATGGGCGTAGGTACAAGTGTAGTACTTAGTCGATTAGAATCACTAGTGAACGCTAAAAAAGCTGTCGTAGAAGTATTCTTCAAGATGGTATTATGATATAATTACTAGTAAAACTGTTATCGTGTCAGCAGCATAACTAGAGAGAGTGCAGGCTTTTTTTTAAGTGCTGTGTGGCCCTAATAATTGTGTAATTGGAAATTTCAAATAGTCGCCTCTATACGTCTGGAAAATCTTTAAAGTCCAATTACTATAATATAACCTTTTTCAAGGAAGGTAATTATGGGCTTTTAAAAATAACATAATATCATAATATGTATTTATTATCTGAGAGACGTTATAAAAGTGGATATACAAACATTGTGTAGGTAACAGTAGTTTTATTTTATAACTTGGATTGAAACGAAAAAATGTAATTATACCCGAAAATCCAAAAAGTTTACCTTTACCTACCTGGATTAAATATCCGGATTTAAGTGGCCTGAATTAAAAACTGATCTGAGCAAAACATCACTCAAGCAGCAAGACATAGTTATATTTATATATTGGGGTTTCTACACCATTTGACTTGTTGATCAAATTGTTTCCTTTTTAGGTAATTAGCAAATCAGAATTTCTAATCAGCAATTAAAAACTTTATCAAACCACAATTTAGATACATATTATTTGTTATAAATACAATAGATGTTGATTAAAATGATTTATATTTGAACTGAGTAATTTATGCCTTTTTAATTTCACAACACACTGTATATATTATAATATAGTAAGTATAACCTAGCATGTAATAAACCTAACCTCACTGATTAAAACTGACCCCGCATAACATGAATTGTTTATTTTTCTTGTAATTTTTCTTTATGAACCAATATGCCTAGAAAAACAACTAGTTCAAAAGTGTACTAGTATAATAATATGCAGTGTTGAGTGCACAACATAGTTTTGTATTTTTTATTGTACTAATTGACTTAAGTGTAGGTTGTGTTGTGTGTACTTGTCGTTTTGTGAGATTGATTTGTTTTCTGTGAATTATCGTTAGCAAATAAAACGGAGGTATTTTATAGAGTAAAAAATTAGAGTATAAAAACTATTTATTTCGTTTATAAAATAAGAAAAAAACGCTTTGCAATTAACAGAAATCGTGCGAACGGCGCTAGAGAGCAATTATATCGGTTGTTACTATATATTTTACTCGTTATAAGTGCACTTATATTATATTGTTACAGCCAACAGTAGGAACTCCAAACTATGGTAGATATAGTAATAATATATCCATAAAAATCTACAAATTCCTATACGGCCCGGTGGATCCAACCGGTTCTCACAGCTGACAGCACTTTGTATTATTGTATTTGTGAGTAAATAGGTATGAGCTTCGGCACCGAGCTGAGAAAGTTTTGCTATTTTACAGTTATGCGGTTTTAGAGTTTCGTTTCTGGGCCTAAACCGTTAAACCGACTTCTTCGTGTAACAAGTCTGTATAGATCAGAAATCGTACCGGCAGGGTATATTTTTATTGAGCGAAAAAGTTCACTCCTTAGTCCTTTAAAACGGTGAAAAAAACTACCAAAAAATTGTAAACATTTTCTAATTTTATAGACAGACGATCAACCCCTATTGTATCCACCCTGAAAAACTAGGTATTATAATTTTAAGCACATTATAGTTTTTTAAAGTCAACATTTTCAGTTATAATAATTCCTGAAGACCTGTGCCCTCCCCACCTCCACTGTGCCTCTCCATCCCACGGGGCTGGCTTTATTTTTATATTTCCGTTTGCTTTCTAAACGTATGCTATCAAAGATCCTATCGCCGTTCGAAATGGCCAAGTCGAATAAGCTTGGAAAATAAGAAACTCCACTTGGACAGACTTATTGTCGCCATAATATATCATACCCCCCGCGTGCACGAATAATTGCCTCTGTAACATGTACTACATGACGTGCCCATTATTATCTCATTAAACAGTCGGTGTTTTCTTTTGATCTATCGTCGTTCGCGTGGACGTGTACATCCGGTTATAAGACTTATGATAGCATTACATTAAATTGTACCTAATAATTGTATGACATCGGCTGTAACAAGTGCATGTGCACTGCATGTTAATATGTACATGCCACACTAAGTCCTCGGCAGTTATAACAACAGTAACAGCCTCGTTTATTAAAATATATTATCATGTCAATATAACGCGTCATTGAGATATTACAACTATTTTGTCGTTGATATGTTTATCAATTACCATATTATTGCAGTCAATAATAATTGTATAATAATATTATAAAGCTAACACACACATGACCTATGGGCGAACCGAACAATACTCAAGATCAATTTAATTCAAGATGAGTGGTACACAATAGTAATAGTAGTGTAATAAATAATATATAGTATTGTTGTTTCCAAACAATTAATTTAGATTTAAATCACAACAAAAGTACACACATCGCAAGTGTGCATCGGCCAATCCGTTTCCGAATAGTGCGGTAAAGGCATTACATATAAAAAATAAAAATAAATCCATTCCAAATGTGTAACCCCACTTTTGTTTGTTTACACTAAACAATTGGTTAGGGTAGGTCGGATACTGTGTAAGTATCATCAGATGGTTCGTATAATATCTAAACAGTGGCTGTTATTAGATCGTTGGCCGTTGATCGCCCCTTGTCAGCTTATTCGACCGCCTCGAAGACAATGCGGGAGATCTGGTTTTGATTTACATCCGCCAACATGACGTGATAGCTATTTTGTATCTTGTGTATCACAATAATAACAATAATATTTACACTACTTACACGTCTTGCGGTTATAGTCCCACTTGGATAGACTGACTTATTGTCTTGAGTCTTCCCAAGACCGTAACCACGACACTCCAGTTAAGTTTCGATAATTTTTAATAATAATATTGTTTATAATTGATACAGACATACAGTCGTGTTCATATTAATGTATAATATGTATACAATAATCTGCCGACTTAATACATTTCTTTATGTACGCAGGAGCATTAGTTAAGACTTAAAGGGTACTACCCCCTGGGATGGGTAGAACAAATGGCAGCAATTCTAAGGTCACACCTTAAATTTATGCTAGATTGTTTTAATTTCGAACAATTGAATAAATGTAGAACATATTATTACATATTATATGGATACTATAACATGAATTACATTTAGTCGATGAGAAGACCAAAGAAAAGAATTATTATAATCGACACATGACCAGTAAAGTGTTTTGAAAATTGTAATGTTATTATAATTACTATTACTATGTCGTCTGATAAAACCTAACTGTTTTGTAGTCTTATCGACAATTATTGTATGTAGAAGACGTATGCGTGTTAAAAGACAAATTAGACAGGAACAAGAAACAAGTAGTTCGTCTAATATGAATAACGATTGGCAACGAAAATGATAAGATATTAATTATGTAGGTTTATGCGATAAAAATCAATTACGTTAAATTAAGATAAGTTGGAAAACTCTGATCGTTTTCTCCTAACACCGCATTAATATCACACTGTAATAATAAATATAAATCATTCACTGATTTAGTACAGTTAAAATTATTTAGCAAAGCGCAAATTAAAAGCTCTTGTATCATTTATGAAGATGTAAAAATAAAATTGGAGAGAGGTTATGGGAAAATCTTGATGAAACTCGAATTTGATAGGATAATAATCGATTGGCATAATATGTTTTGTGCGTGCAAAAAATAAAAACTCAAAACTGCTACTTGCTGCGGTTAGCGCTCCCAGTAAAACGTCCCACCTGTAAGTCCTAACCGATAAATATATCTATAGGCATTACATTATACCGGATATTTAGATGGAAGTCTGTAGACAAGGTCTCCTACGCTGTATAGTATGTAATATGTATATAGTATATACAAAAGGTATACATGCACACAATGCGACTTAAGAACAATATTACGAGCACGTGCGTCACATTCGAATAATAATATTAAACGAACCTAAACGATTATTCATCAGAAATTCCTACATTTTGTTGTCCGTCTCCTTCACCACCGCCGTTTATAGTCAAATCCATTTAACGGTTTTGTATTATTTTGTTGCGGGTTAATACTATTGAGGATGACAAAATTAAAATACACACCTATTATATTGGTGCTCCAGGCTCCTAGATGAGAAGGCTGGAACTGAGGAAGTTCAGATCTTTTGAATAGACTCTCGAGAGGAACAGGAAGGGCTATTTATTCAGGGACAAAAGATAGGCAATATATGACACATTATTTCAACTATAGGAGTCATTGTTTTTTATTGTTCTTGTTAAAATTTACTTCTCCAGAACTTTGCTTCGTTTGAATCTATTTCTCTAACAATAATGTCTTTTTATTTGTTAACCAAACTGCTCTAAGTTATGTGGCTTCTATACAGAGTTGGACACTTTTTATTCGAACAACGGATAACAAATAATTTATGCGAATAATTTTGTTATTGGAATAGTTTTTAAAAAAAATTATTTCCTTTACCTCCAATGTTAAAAAAAACGTACATATGAGACCGTCGGTACAAAAACCTACCACACAAAAAATACTGTTATGACCGACGGTACTTTCTAGTACCATCACTATATTTAAAAAAACTAATGTAATTTTTTTTATTATTCAAATTTGTTATAGTTTAAAATATGTATTTAAACGAATTTATGAAAAAAAATTTGGTCACATTTCGTTTTGTCTTTGTTCGGGCAACAGTTCTATACTAAAGTAGCGCGTGCACACCGTATAAAAAATATACATTTATTTTTTGTTAATCGTTTGCGCTACAAGATTTGAACTTTTCATTATTTAATCGTTAACTACAATGTCAATGTACGAGACGCAGTATTTATAATATTATTTTTTGATTACTCAAATCGCTTTTTCATCAGCAATTCGTTTTGACACTATAATATTGTTATGTGTAATTATTACTAGTTTTCCTACTTGTCAACCATCAGCCGTCGCCTTTTTTACGACCGACAAATCGTCGTTTTACTATCCGAAGTCTATGACCTTGCCGAGGTCATAATATTTTGTTGAATGAATTTTGATTTGACTGCATAAAATAAATACAAAATTATAGGCCCGGTTTGGGATGTGTTCCAGTGACACGCGCTGTCGTTTCTTCGACCGAATTAGTTATGGTTAAATAATTTATTAATAATTGGTCACGATTGAAAAATAAATAATGAATATAAATAGTTAATTTCATCATGATTAATTAAATAAACGAAAAAAAAAAACAAGTCAGTTTTCTGTTGGTAAATTTATTTTAAAAAAAATATATATATATTCGAATAAGGTCCAATTCTGTTTGTAAAGGTAAAACACAAAAAAAATTGTATTGAAACATTTTTTTAAAAATGTATTAAAATAATGCAAATTTGAGATACGTTCGAAGTAGGTTTTTTTTACTGATTGAAGATTTTTAACATTTTTTAAACAAACAGTATGTTTAATTCTATTAACTGTTAACCAATTCGAAAAAATGTAAAGAACATTTTGACTGGTCGATTGGGAAATTTAAAATATTTCTAAAATAATAAAAATAAGAACCAAAAACTGCTATTATTTCTGTGCTGTAAATTATATTGAAAAAAAAAATATATTGTTGAGGCAACTTTGTGCTTTAAATTGTATTTTTTATTTGGGAGGTGAAAGTGGAAACGACTAGGACTGATCTAATCTGTTAATAATAATATGTTTTCGTTGTTTCCCATGTATAATAATAATATATTTCATAATGTACAACAAATGGTAATACTAATAATGTCCAATACTTTTATCTCAAGTGTAAATGCTTCATATTTAAATACAATTAATTGATACTATTTTCAACAACAACCTCATGAACTTTACTGAAGCGGAACAATAGCATTTAATTAGAAACTTTTACATACTGTATAAATAACAAAAGAAAAAAAAAAATTATGCAAAAATATAACATGAATAGACAAAAATGGTAATTTACATTTGAAGAACTCTAACATCGTTCAAAAACTTTATACATTTCGGGTAAACTAGCAATTTGTAACAACGTGCCGTCTTCTAGAAACCGTTTTGGTGGTTGGAATGATTTACGCAAAGACGGAAACAACATGTGTTCCATATTCCAAGTCCAGTTGTTATCGGGCGCCACGTCCTGGGTGTAAAAAGAGTATTTATATGAATTTGTTAAAATCCATTGTCAAGTTTTAAGTTTCAAGCACTCACTGATATGTCGTCGGTATCACAACTCTGTTGTTTCCACGGGTGCATCACATAAAATCTGGCAGTTTCGCGGCAGAATGTACGAAAACATTCTTTTTCATTCGACCAATCGACCTCGCTAGCCAAACGCAATAAATAAAGCGGCAACCCATCTAAATCGGGTAGATAACCTTCTACAAAATGAAACAACCAATTTTAGTTATTAACACTAGTTAGTGAGACACAACAAATGCATTATACCTAACAACAATGGAAGTGACAGTATATTTTCATCGTCGTCGATTTCAATAGAAAAATAATCGTTCAACATTAAAGCTCTGGACATGATTATTTCAGTGGCGTCTCTCGCCAAATCTTCTTTTGGTTTATCTTCTCCGCTTTGGTATTCCGACTCGGGTTGTTCTAATCCGAGCTTTATTAACTCGTATAACGATAACGGATTCTTAGCACACAAATGACAACAATTATTAAACTGCAGAAATTAATTTGTAATCAAATAATAATTATAATAAAATAAAAAACTATTCATGCATTTTCTTTAGCTATAAACAATTTTATTCATTATAAAAATAACATTTGCTCAACTGTGTTAAGCAATAATCGGTATTGTATTAATTTTTTTTTTACTCACCGAAAATTTGATAACGCCAAAATTTCCAAATTCGTACAACGTTATTTGATAAAACATTTCTTGCCTAAATAAAGAAACAATACTTAGGTTTTTTTTAAAATTGTATGAAGTTTTTTTATTTAACTTACAACACGTTGTTAGAGTTACAAATATACAACTCGGTATCGTATTGAAATAACGTCCAAGTAGGTGACGCCACTCCGACATATTTGTGGTTTTGAAATATTCTTTGTAGAGTTTCGCTTGATTGATTTTCCACCTCTTTCCTTAATGTCAACACACTAGTCAACTTGATTTCGCGGCTGAAAAATTGTTATACTTAGTTAAAAAATGTATCCGAACATTAAACGTTTACATTATGTTATCTACATTAAGAATTACCGCGTTATTTCATCTTCAGATTTCGGTTCAGAAGCAAATGACGAACTCGTATTTAAAAATTTATCAATTTTTTGTTCTGTACTGTCTGTCCTGACCATTTTATTCTGTGAAACATTTTGCGATGTGATAAAAACATTTTGCTTGTCTTTGGTCTTTTCATTATTTTCTTTGGATTTTATCTCTATGGACGTATCGTTATAAGTCGGTAACCGAGTCTGTAAAGCATATTTACAAGTTTATTATAAAATTAATATACATCATCTTTGGCAATAACTCTCTGGGTTATAATTTTTGATCATCTTCACTGACTTGAGTGTAAAAAGTTCTTGATGCATTAGAACCAGAAAGTTTTTCTTGAATCACATCGCCGACCCTTTCGATTACCTTGTCCTCATGCAAGAAATGTACCTCATGCTTTGTCGGATGGACATTGACGTCCACGTTCATAGGGTCCAAGTGCAAACTTAAATATAAAAAAGGGTAAGATCCTTTTCCCAGGTATACACTGTAAACCTGGTCAATGGCTTTCTTTAATCCTAAATCACAATATTTGTTGTATGAATACGAAATGGGTTTAAATTTAAAATAAGTAGAACTATTTTATTTACCTTGCGATTCGACCAAACGATCATTTATGAATAATATAAAAACGTGTTTCTTAGCCGTGTAGTTGGCATTTGATACAAAACCTTTGATTTTTAACTTGAGCGTATTACAATAATCTTCAACTTCTAACAAAGCTCTAATACATATATAAAATACATTAGTTTAACATTAAACTGAGAAAGAATTGGCATTTTTAGATCTTACCTGGATACTGTCGAACCGTAAATAGCCAATATATTATCTTTGTGGTTAGAGTCTTGATTTGTTTTAACCTCAGACAATGTTTCCCCTTGTTTTTTCACAGTAAAGCCCACTGTAGGATTATGTATTGCGTAGCGGCTTACCTTGAATGTAAATGACAATTTAAAAATTCACATAAAATTCCTTTAGTTAGGTTATAGTCAAACCTGGGAATTTTATAAATTATAAATGAATGATAATTTGAAAATATCATACTATTTGAAATATGTTTTTATTTAGTGCATAAAATCATTTTTAATTAGTATATAATTTAAATTACGGTTTCAAACAATAATTTCATAAAGTATATTATTTATAACGTGAAATAATATTGTATTAAATTATTGTTTCCATTTATACCCTTACAAATATTAAAATTATATAGTTAAACCTAAAAATGCATTTGTTTAAATAAAAACACAATTTTATTATTTGAGTTTTTATATAAATATTTGTATGATTAGATTATTAAAATTTTTATTTTATAATGCCCAAGTTAGTTTTTGTATTTGTATAAAAAATTCATGTAGTATAATAAAATTTAAGAAATAAACCAAAATATATTTATAAATAATTTGATATACCACTTCAACGACTTTTTGATGTTCTTCATTGAAACTTTTCATGGACTTTCTTCTGGTTGCGATATTATAGAACAAATCCTCGACGGTAATTATGGTTCCAACGTTTCCGGCACACGGTTTTGGTGGTGCTTTTAATCGTCCATCCAAATATGACGCTCTATGAAAACCATTGATTAAATTTTGGAAATTATTTAACTTATTATAATTTTTTAGAATTTACTTGTAAGCACAAAGGGATCCATTTGTTTTTGTAGTAATCGTTAAATGTGCGACGTGGCTTATGCTGGCCAGTGCTTCGCCGCGAAAGCCATAAGTCGATATCGAGTTTAAATCCTCAAACTCTTGCAGTTTACTAGTTGTGAATCGTTCGCAAACGATGCCCAAGTCTTCCGTTCTAATACCAGTACCGTTGTCTTGTATCTTAAATTGTAATATCAGAATTGATTAACTATTCTTATTTTCAATTAAATGCTGCTAAATTCGACAAATACCTGTAGCAACTTTAGTCCTCCGTTTTTCAAAGTTATTTGGATGTTTGTCGACTTGGCATCCAAACTGTATTGATAATAATAGTAATAATTTAAAAAATCTTTTTTTCCAAAGTCTAGAATGTTTGAACACATTACCTGTTTTCTAATAGTTCTTTTAATGCATTAGCCGGTCTCTGAATAACTTCGCCGGCCGCTATTCGATTGACTACGTCTTCTGCTAATTTTCTGACAACCGGCACTTGTTCCATAGTTTTTGAAATTGAACACCGTAGTTATCAGTCAAACAAAAGTTAGCTAAATAGGTAATTAATAAATTCACACTACTGTATGCATTTAGACAAAATTAATAACATCTATATGACAAATGTATATACTACCATTGAGAGTATCGACTTGGAAATATTATTTCACTATTTGCATAGTTGATTTAAATTGGGGACTTGAGTATCAATTGATTGCTGAAATATTAGAACTTATTTATTATCAAACCGATTGGAGTAAAACGTACTAAGTATTTTTTAATTTTTCGAAAATTCAAAATTCAAAATTGTTTTATCACATGGACATTAATAATTTTTGGAGGTAAATGCGATGGTTATATTGGTTGAGGCAGGGTTAACCAATTCTGTGGTTAAGACACAAACTATGATAATTACTGATAAGCGGATTTTATTTCATTGCTAAAATGTAGAATACATAGTATAACTTTTGTTTTAAATGCAATTGCTAATATCACAGAATAAATGAAATACCATTAAGTAATATTACTCTATGGCTAATACAAAGATTACAAACATTGTTGTAAAGACTAACGTTTAAAATTTATAATTCAATTTTTCAACTACCGATGCCAAATCGTACATTATTTGACGTTTGCACCTATCTCATATTTTAGATTTGATGCGGAGCTGAAATGGTATTGTGTTTACAATGAACCCAAATCGAATCATATTTTATTAACATTTTTAATTTAAAAAAAATTACCAAACATTTTGACAGGTGACAACCAGTTTTGGATAATTATTTTTCAAGTTAAAGTTGAAGTTTAGGACAGGAGGAAAGGTGAAGTGTAGTATTTAACTGCGCACATTACTCAACCGCACTTCCCCTACGGTCCTAATTATTAAACTTTAATAGTAATTACTCAAAACTGGTTATCGACCAGTCAATATTTGCAGTAAGTTATTCTTATGATAAAAGGTTAATTAAATATATACGTTACCAATTAAAGTTATGAATTGATAGTAATTGTTTTCAAGCTAATAATAATTATCGAGTAACCTATACCAGTAACTATATCAGAGAAGATTCGACTAAGGTAAATCGTCTGTTGATAATAATTATTACCGTTGTTACCCATTTATCGTAATTAACAATATAATTAACATTTTTTTAAATACTTGTCGACTGTTGATTCACTCCCACATGGCAACCTAAACATTTACTACGGTCAAAGTGTAATTTTCCCATTTTTTTTTTTGTTTATCTTTAATAAAAAAAAAGTTGGACTAGTTTTTTAAAAAAAGTTGTATATGTAATAGCCCTACACTAGATCTACTTCCAGTCTAATATTTAGATCTTAAGTCGTAAAATTTTGCTCTAAAATTAGAAATAAAGAAAAAATCTCTTCCCCTTCTAGGGAAAAGGTTTTATAATAATTTTTTTTTTGTCAAGGTTATTCTAAAGTACTGCGTTTAAAGAACATTTTATACAATTTTAGAAATCATTATCTCTCAGCTACGCATTGAAAGCGTATAAAATCGTAGTTTTTATATAAAAGTATAGTATAATAGTTTTTATTAGAAGTGTACAACATCTAGTGTACATATTTAAATGTATTAGATAAACGTAATTAACAAGACAATAATTAGGTATTTGTTTATATTTTTAATTTTCGATTTTTAAACGCGGTTTTTTTTTAAAAAGTGTTTTCACACCGATTTGACATTTCCATCGAAAAAAAACATATTATGGGTGGGGCCGCGGCTACAATCAGCCGGTGTTTAAACGGTTATCTTGTTATCTTTATCAGGAAAACGCTTGCTCAGATTTTAGAGTGAATACTGAATCCTTCTGTTTGTCTCTCATAAATAAAAACGCGTGGGAGAGTGAAAACTAAAAAAAAAAAAAACATGTTAATCCGGTGTTATAGGATATAATACTAATTTTTGAATATGGTTTATCGTTTAAAAGTTGCTACACCAAAGTATTTAAGTATGTTTTAATAAACAAATTGTAGTTCAATTTGAATTTTTTATTTCATTGATCGAAACGAATTAAATTTCATAGAATTCTATAGAACTTAGTATTGTTTTGAAAAAACACATTCGATTCGCATCAAATAGTAGGTATTAACGTATTACCTAATTCGCAGTATTTTTTTCGGGTTTTTGTAGTATTTAAATTATTTACCAGTATTCAGTGTATTTCGACTTCTTTTTCTTCAGGTAGGTATGAAAGAGATTGATTTGGTTAAGCAAACCTATTATTATGATTTAATGTGACGAACCTCTTGTTGTTTTTTAGTAAATGAAACGTCGTCATGGACAGTATTCAACAAGGCTGGTTTACCGAGTCCGACACTTGGCCAGGAGCGGGATTGTCGCTTCAAGTTGAAAAAGTCCTTCATAAAGAGAAATCTCCTTATCAAGACATTATGGTATTACAAACGTGAGTATTAAACCGCCGGGAAGTAACTTTATTATTTATTAATGTATTCAATTTTTTTATTTAATTAATTTCGTTTTGAAAAAAATACCACATTAATTCCAAGACCAGTTACGTTAAGTTCAGCTCATAATCTTTATGTAAAATACTTTTTGGAAAATGATTTAAACGTATAGAATATTATTATTTTTACCACTTTGAAGACCGTTTATGTAAAAAAATAACATAGATGTGTTGGGAAAAAATCTGAGGCCAGATTTGGATTCAGAGAAAAATTAAATTTAATATTATGGTTTTTGTTCTAAGGTTAAATTTAGTTGTAGTGTAATCTTCTTCTTCTGGCCTATTAATACGGACCATTAAGGTACCTTGCCGCTTCCACAATCCTTCTCCACTGATCCCTATCCGTTGCCATGTCGATGCTGAAGGTGTTGTTTATTTTGGACAGGTCTCTCTTCATCGAATCAAACCATCTTTGGCGTGGTCTCCCCAGGGGTCTCTTTCCAGTCGGGTTCCCCACCATAACCTTCCGTATGAGGCATCCTTCTGCTCACCACACGTAGCCTGCCCATTCTATTCTCTTACTACGAATGAATTGGAATATACTTGGATTGTTATAAAGTCTAGTTGTAGTGTAATATAAGTTTAAATTTTACTAACTATTGTAACAGTTAATTTAATTATGTTTTTCGTATACCTAAAATAATGACTTTTTGTTCATGTAGCAAATCGTTTGGGAAAGCGTTAATTCTGGACAAAATAATTCAGTGTACGGAGTTCGATGAATTTTCGTATCAAGAAATGATATCTTTTTTGCCATTGTGCAGCCATCCCAATCCAGAAAGAGTTTTGGTAGTTGGCGGGGGTGACGGAGGCGTAGCGCGAGAAGCTGTGAAACATCCGAGCGTAATCAGCATAGATGTAGTGGAAATCGACGAACGAGTAGTGAAACTGGCTGAGGAATATTTGCCGTTTATGGCGTGTGGATTTAAAAACGAAAAAGTCACACTGCACATAGAGGACGGCTTTGAATTTATGAAAAAGAACGCACAACAATTTGATGTCATCATCACTGATTCCTCAGACCCCGTCGGTAAACGACTAAAGTTTATATAGTACTTATTTTTATGTGAAATTTCATTACGTTGTTTTAGTATTAAATGTTTATTTTATTTTCGGTTTTTTTCTAGGTCCTAATGCATCACTATTTCAAAAGAGTTACATCGAGTCGATGAAACAGTCACTTAAACCAGGTGGTATTATTTGTTCGCAAGCAGGATCTATTTGGATCAAAGAAGACCAGAACACAATGATCGGATTGTCCAAAGACTGTTCAGCCGTATTCGACAAGATCACTTTAGCCACTATTTCAATTCCATCTTATCCGACAGGCAATATTAGTTTTCTAATGGCCACAAACAATGATGTAAACAAAACATTTCCTTATTACAACTTTTTATACTTATAATTTTACATTTTAGAAAAAAAATATAATAGTTTTGAGTAATAAAGTTTATTACAAAAGTATCATTAAAAAATGCACTAAAAAAGTGTTAAAATGAGTTTAAAACGTAAAAAATGAATTGAAATATGATCAAATGTATATAATTGTAATCAGTAAAGTGAAGTTTTAAACATTTTTGAGAATTTTAACGACAATATTTAGCTCATTTTTTTTTAAACAAATAAAAATGTATTTAAATAACCTTAACAATGAACACAACTTTATTTTTCTTTGAACAAATAAAATATGATTGAAATCATTTTTCTCAATTCAACTAAATTTTCATTTAAAAAAAAAAAAAAAAATTATTCAAATAATAAACTAAAATACAAGTTTATTTAAAACAAATAGTTATTTGAAACATCAGTTTAAAAATGTATTTAAATAAAATATTGTTTAATAATTATTAAAACAATACATTTGTTTGTAATATTGTAAATAATATATTTACAGAAAAAACTGATTTATTATTAACTTTTTATAAAATAAAACCTTTCATTATAAAATGTATATTATGTTTCAGAAGGTTAATTTTAAAATGCCAGTTTTCAAGTTTACAACCGAAGAAATGGACAAACACGAGCTTAAGTTTTATTCACCAGAATTGCATTGTGCTTCGTTTAGCATTCCTAGGTTTATTCAAAAGACTCTTCCTTACCTCACGTGCTAGTAGTGACAATTCTTTGAAACGTGTACCTTTTTTTTTTTTGTAGTATGTACAGAGTTTATTTTACTTTTTAACTATGTATGTATTTAAATTATCATACTATGTTTTGTATTTTCTCTTGTCATCACAAACTAACAAATCCATTGCACTGATTTAAATTTAACAAACATAGTCAATTATTTTAAGTATATGTACTCACATGTATTTATGTATTTGCTGTAATACATTTGACTAGGTTTACGTTATCGTTGAAAATAACAGAGAAATTGTTTTTATTATTTAAATCACTCAGACTTTAAATTGACCAAAGAAAGCACTTGAACGGTTGAACAGTCGACGTTAGTACATGTCTTAAATCCACCGTTTGTATTTTTTTGAAGCTCTAATCTGTGTAATGTACTTCTCAAATCAAAATTTTCGGTTTTCGCTTTTTCTGCTTTCGACATTTGTTTTTTTTGTTCTGTACAACGATAGTTAACAGTTTAATGACGTTATTACAAAACTTTTACTTATAGAACGGTACCTATTAACGCGTTGTAATAATGCCGCAAGGCCATGTTGATTGTGTCCCAAAAGTCCATTCGATTGGGCGGAATAGACTTAACGAATTTCAACCAAAAGGATCGCATATCGTCTTCGTTTACCGTCCACATAAAATAATCGTATTGCTTGTCGATTCTCTGGTTCAACGATTGTGGCACGTTCTTGGCTTTGGGTTTGGATTGTTCTATAATTTTTTTCATAACTCTCAAATAACCGTTCTCGTCCATAGTGATTTTGTGGACCAAGTTTGTGCACAACACGTCTGGACGATCTCGTACGGTCGCCGCTGCAAGACGTCGGTGGTGGTTACTATCACTTTCAGACCTATAGTTATTTTAGCGTAGGGAACCGTTTTTTTTTGTAATAATCTTACTTAGAACTCTTTAATTAGCATATTTCTTCATTTAAAAAAAATATATATTTTTTTTTGTGTAAGCTTACCAGTTTTGGTTACTTTTAGAAAAAAGTCTCTTGCACAATTCTATAAACGAACAAATGAATATAATAAGTGGCCGCTATCGGTACGTTGGCTAAAACCTGGTACTAGAACCAGGGATTATTGATTTTTTTTTTTTAAATATATTTAACATAAAATTATAAATTTATTGAAACAACCAATTTTTTAACATTATGCATCTATTATTAATTTATTATAAATTATCTAAAATTGGGCCTGAAAGGATTAAACTGTAAACGATAAATATCTCACTAAGATTATCTGCACCTGACACGTGGTGCACGTCTTTTGTGTCTTCGTGCATTTCACCAAAGGACGTTTTCAGTCCAACGTTCAAACGGTTCACGTGGTCGTCGGTGAAAGCCAACAGTTGGTTCATCAAATGGTCTATGGACTTGCATACATCAACTCTAAAACCGACGAACAGACAATAACCGCGTTGTGTTCAATGTCAAAAGCCAATAAGGGGTAACACTAGGTTAGACGTTATTTTAATGTGCAGTAAGAAATTATAATTGTGCAGTTGATTTTACAACTTCGATTTTTTCTTGTTGTACGAGTTCAAAGATAATAATGGTTAAATTTTTTAAAATTATTTACATTAGTGGTGGAACAGCCGGATTTATCAGATTTTCTTTTTCTTTTTACCTTATAATAAAAATATTTCCATTTTAAGTACTTAACAGAAAAATAGTTTCTATTATTATTTATTATAAACTCTACTATATTTATGGGGTGGGGGCGACCAAGGTTTCAAATCAGATTTATTTCGAATGGCGATGCCAGTCTATTGTTGCTATAAGGCACGGATCCAAAGGGTAGGGGCAAGGGTAGTTCAAACCCTTAAATTTCTCACAAAATCCTTAATTTGGGGCTATGCTATAGGTAAGTTGCTCATAGTTTTGAAAGATGCTATATTGGATACCGATGGTTGGTCAAACCGTCAAAACAAACGGTTTCTTCGTCGGCTTTAGTCTCGATTTCAGACCATGCCACAGGCGTGCCGCAAACCTCACAGTATACAAGTGGCTTAAAATTGGATACGATCAGATCCCACGTGTCAGTCTTGTTCAGACCCAGAGTTTTCATCATGTTGTAGATGAGAGGTAAGTTTTTCATGCGATAAGGCCAGAAAATTCCGACCAGATGGTCGTCGACCGTCAACCTCGACTCCTTCACCGTCAAGTCCAAAATCAACCTCATCAGAGCTTTGATCCTGGCTTTTGCGTACTCGCTGTGGGCGTTTTTATTACCGTCGTTGGACGGTGGACCTGAAGACATTATCGAGTCGACCATTTGCTTGTAAGACGGCAAGTCGTTCACGCTGGGAAGTTCAAACAAAGCAATGTGCGGCACGCCCAAGTACTCTTCGTGTATGATTCGGTCGGTATTGTGAATCTGCAAAAAGCATCACCAATCTAAGGTCAATTCAATTGGCGTCATCTAGTAACTCGACAATATTTGCCAGCCACAATATCTGACCTGTTGGATAATTTCGATTATGCGCGTTTGTTCCAGCGCCCAACCCTCTTTGAATTTCCTGGCTTCGAGTTTGGCGATAAGATCCGCTTTCTTCTCGAGTCTGTCGATTTCCGCGTTCACCTTGACAATCTCTTCTTTCAAAATCGGAATCCGGGCTAAATATTGCTTGTCGTTTTCTCTTAGCTTGGTCTTCAGATCGTACACGGTTTGTCGCATTCTGTTTAAATTCAATTTACTTATTTCATAACGATCGACATCTACGAAACTGAGCGTTAGCCGTTTAACGATGCCGCTCAAACTATACTTTTTTTTTGTGGTACTTTAAAAGTGTACTTGAAACCCACCGCGATCACCAAAATTAATTTTTGTTTAAACGGTGAACAACGAAGAGAGAGAAGTTGAGTGCTACATTTGATAAGCCGATGCCAATTAGTAGAAAGAAATTTACAGTAGTCAGTGGATGAGCATAAGGTCGAAGGGTTGTCAATTAACGAAGTAAGGTTTTTTATAATACAATTTTGTAGAAATTTGAAGGGTATGAGAGGTTGTTGGTGGCAGTTTTATGCGAAGGTCGAGGAGCCAAAGGAAGTTCTTTTATCCGTTTCTCAGAACATCAAAGTATAGTTGGAGTGTACTTTGCAGATTTTGTATCTTAAAGCGGGGTTTACGCGTTGATCCGTCTCTTTCGGGTAGCCAAAGCCGTTGCGTTTTCGTCAGTTCTTTTCCTTAGGACGTCGTAGTTGTATTGAAGTTTTTCGGCATTTTCGAAGCACTTCATTTTTACAAACTCCAATTCGCGAACACTCTCCTGGGAAGCAATATAGTCAGAGCATAATATTATATTAATTAAGCGACCCAGAGGCACCGCGGTGGGTTTTCTTACGTCAGTTTCCTTGGTCACGTTAATCCGAACGTTTTTCGCTTTCTCTTCGTTTTCTTCGAACTGGTCCATTAGTTTTTTCTCTTTGTCTTCGATGACCTTTAAGCGTACGTCCATTGCGTTGGAATGGTCTTCGACGATTCGCTCGTACACCGATTGCCAGGCTGTGGTATTGTTCGTTTGTTTCTTCTCCATTTCCTCGTACATCAGTTGCTTGACGCCAAAAAATTTCACAATAGTAATGAGTATACCCTTGTCCCACGAGAGAACAGACCTGCGCAGAAACCAAAACGCGCAACTCCCGTTTACTTTTGTCTGCAACGGCGCATACGAGAGTAAAGCGTTTGGTTTTTGCGCAGGCCCGTTCTCTCGTGGGACAGTGCGGACTCGTTGGAATTTACAAAAACCGGCGGCTTACTTCGATGAGCGACAGGTGCTCGGCGTGAGCGTTTTTAATGTCTGCCATGTGATCGTTGGCAATCTTGTACAGCCTCTCCAGGTCGTCGCTTTGTGAACTTTTCTCGCGAAGAGTCTTGGACATTGTATCGTCTATTTCTCGCATCAACGCGCCGATTATTTCATCTTTTTGTCTCAACAGCTTGGCGCCTTGTTCTAGTTAACAGTGAATTGATGTGTGATCAGAAATCGTACTCGAAAGTTACTCTAGAGGGACAAGAACTTAACAGTTCACCCCTTCCCCTTAAAAATCGAAAAAAAACCCTATTAGAAAATTACACTTTGAGGTAACAATATTACTACCTCTGATCGTTTCGATATCCTCGTGGATAACGACCACGTCGTTCTTTTTGCTGATAGCTTCGAATTGGTCGTCGACAGTCTTGTAGGCTTTGTTGATTTTATCCACAGCCGCTTTAACCGTGTCCCAGCGTTCTCTGTTGGCGTTTTCGTCGGTCCACTTGCGCACACTCTCTGCGTTGTCGACTTCCAAACGTTTTTCGCCAATCACAGCATGGGCTTCTTCAATTATTTGGGCCAATTCGAACTCGCTGGTTTCTATTTGCACGGTGACCGCGTTGGGCACAATCAGTTTTTCAAGCTGTTTCCGCCTGATTTCCTCTTGCTCGAACCTAATAACGTCCAATGTAGTGAATTAGTTAGTATCTTTTTCTCCTTCATCTCAACTATAGTTAGTGGTCGGCCACCATTATCCTAAACTTCTACTTGGCCGGATCTCCCACATCATCTTCGCATACACCAGCTGCAGTCTTCTCATATCATTCTCAATCGCATCCAACCACCACTTTTTCAATCAAAGCCACCGTTACATTGTATAATTACATCCTTAGTATTTAAAACTCTCAACCATGTCTACTATTAAGACGTCACCGCTATTATTGACATTACATATTATTAGTCTTGTCCCGTCAATCTCTTGTCGTCTTTCTTATTTGAGTGCATTAGTCACATTACTCATTATGTATATTGTAATTTTTTTACTCGACCAAATGAGCCCGGCGGCCGATATTTTGTCTCCTGGCCTGTTTCCTTTCTTCGGCATCGGAAAGCGTCGTACTCACGTCTGAATCGTCCGAGTTGCTATCATTGTCCCTCCTCCCTGTCGTTTTCGTTTGCTGTTTGACCATTCTCGTACAACAGCTACAGTGAAAACTTTATAAAATAACAAAAAAAATAATATATTAGTAAAAAAAAATGCACATAAATCATAATAATAATATTAAAGGTAAATTGATTTCCAATATTACCTAGCCAATAGATATATTATACTAAACAATAAAACATTTACTTGGCGATTTGCACAAATTATCCTAAACAATTTATTCAATGTAATAGGACTCTGAAGAATATTTTTTTTAAAGCGACTAGTTTATATAACCCCGGTTAAAAGAAATACAATGTTAGTAAGTAAGAAATTAATATTATATAATTATTGTTTACTGCAATATAACACCTAGAGTGGAAGCTATAAAATACCCTTTGTAGTCGATGCATAATATCATTGGGTTTAATAATACTTTTGTATTATAAATTCGATGTTAATACTAATAACAACAAAAATAAAAATAATCTAAAATTGTAATTTATTAAAAAAGAGGTCCATACTTTGACTGCGAACACGCTGGTGTTTTTTTTCTTAAGGATTTTGGAAGGAGCAATTTTTGGAGACACTTAAGAGCCTAGTTTTTGCGGCACACCACTTTTTTTCGACAAGTAAAACATTTTTGGAAAGATGAAATTTTCTGGAAAACCGTTTTAAAGCATTTTTACTTATAAATAAATTTAAAATTAAGAGTTTATATAAAAAATTACACTGGGTTTTTTTTTGATAATGTAACTATGGAGCAAGGTCATTAGATGGTAAAAAATTTTGAATTTTTTCAAGCCTTTATATCAAAAATGGCCTATATATACTAATTAACAAATATTGAGATCGTATTCGAAGGCATAGTAAAACATATAGGCAGCGAAATGATATTACAATAGATATAAGAAAAAAAATATTCATTTAAATTTCTGATAAACGCCATTTGTTAATTGTTATTCAAATAATAAATGCTAGGTATAATGTATTATGTTAAACAAAAACCTGCTAGGGTTAAAGACATTTTTTAACTGAAGAACGTGGTACTGGATTTTGAAAAATTGTATAGTGTTCAAGAAAATATAGAACTGGTCTCTGACGTCATGATGACACTCCCAGTCAGGGGTAAATCGCCGTTTGAAAATACTTACACCAGAGATATTAATAAAATCATTATAGTGGCACTCTATCACTCCCACGACAAAAATTGAAAATATATGAATTTTCACGAACAAAACACATATTAAATTATGTGTTGTTTCTAAACAACTCCACGTGTAAGAAATTTGTTGAATATTATGTAAGTATCCCACCTCTTGGTGGAAAAAGGCAAATTTACAATCCAACTATTGAATGATGATTATTCAAATTAGGTACTCGAGACAAAAATACAAATTAGGCCGATAATAATTTATAGTATTGCCATATCATGAATCACAAATCACAATACTTATACTTATTTCTTAAGCAAACACATTCATCAAGTCAAATGCACATGTTTAATTTCCTACTGCAAAATTAGCGTCTTGCTGCACTTTAAAATAAAGCCTACTACAATGTAAGCACAGGAATCGCAGTGTTCGTGGACAAAGTTTGTGTAGTCAATGGCGACCAAGGAAAACAAGTTAGCGATACATCAATAATACACACCACCTCAACAAGCAGTGGCAACGATCAAAAAACTAAACAGAAAATGTTATATAAATTTTTAGCCGGGACGCCGATTTTCCGGCTGGGGGGTTAGGTTGAATCGTTTAACATGCAAATCGCTTACGTCGGAGGCCGTCGATGTCCGGGAAATCGGGTACAGCTGGTGTCGGCGGAAGAATGGAAGCGTCTGACCGGGATGTCGACGCGAAGAACCGACGAAAAGGCCGCGGCCGAAGACAGTTTTCTGTTGAAAGAAACGCGTAGAGCAGTGGCGAAAAAGTTGGCCGACTCGTGGGAAAACACCGTGCTGGTCAGTATATTATATTGTACACTGTATAGATCAACACAAAATCCATCCGATGTAAAAAAAAAAGCTAGTACTGTGGAGTCGGTGCATAATGGGAACGGAGCATATCGGGATGGGGGAAGTCACAAGGGTCACATATAGGATTTATTTTATGTGAAAATGATAAAATCACTTTCAGAAAATAACAAAAATTTTCCAACCCTACAGATGAGACTGGGTTGTCGAAATTGGGTTTGAGCCAATTTGTAAATGGAGACAAGCCTAATAAAAATATTCCATACAAATTTCGACTCGATCCGACCGTTTTTCGTTAAGATTATAGCAAGTCAAAGTTGAAGGTTGAAAAACCAGTGTAAATTAATTTTTAGATATTCTCAGTTTTGGAAGTGAATTTTTTCAACTCGAACGTATAGCATCGAAACTAAATAATCAATTGTCTCTGTTTATAGAACAAAACCAAGAAAATTCTGGAACAGAAGCGCACAGCTAAGGCGAAATTGGAAGCTGAGCAAAAGCAAAGAGACGAGGAGATAAAAATTGAGGCGCTGAACATCAGGAACGAAATGATCGAGAAGTCTCGCAAACAGAAGTTCGAGCAAAGAGACTGGACCAAAACGTTTATAAGAGCGCACAAACTATCAGAGGTATTTTCAAACAGAAATTATTAATCAAACTTGAAAACTGATTAAACTTTCAAAAAAAGATTTTTAAAGCTAAAATATGACAATTGAAAATCTTTCTTTGAATATTTCATAGTGAAATTATTTTTAGCAAGTTATCAAAATATCAGTTTTCAATGAGCTCTAACTTAATAAAAAAAAAAAACAATTTTTCGTGAAATATCACAAGAAAGATTTTTAAGTATTATACTTCAGCTTAAGATAGTTAATTACAGGATTAAAACGGAGCTATCGTCTAAAAACCTAATAAAAATCGGGACAAGGGGGAATTTCTCTCAAAAAAAGGAAGAATCCCGTTTTCAACGGGTCGCCTACTGTTAAGTTAACCTGTACTCGATTTTCTGATTAGGTTTTTGGAGAAAGAGACATACAATTTAAATTAAATGAGTCGGAAAGATTGAGAAAAATGGAACAAGATATGGCGGCGACAGATCAACACAATATGATGATGGACGCATACAAAAAAGAACAGCTAGACCAACAGCTGAAGACGATCGAGTTGAAAAAGACCAAGACCGAAGAGCTGCTGAAAGAGTAATAACTTTTAACAATATCAATACAATTTCATAGCCGCCGATTGAGTCAGTTAACTTGCCAAGCCTTATAATCAACAGAAATTATTAAAAAAAAAAAAAACAGCACAGTGGGTCAGAGAGGTTGAATGTCTATAGGAATTATTATAATATATAACTGGCGGTAAAAAACCATTAAACATAATTTAAAAGCCGGTAAAATATGCGTTCGTAAAGGTAATTATTGGTTTATGAATTTCCTAGATAAAAAAAAAATGTAACTACCTACTTTTTAATTGTATTATATTTTTGTGTAACTTACTGCACCTTAAAATAAATCCTGGACAAACCAGCAGTGTCCGAACCGATTGTCATAGCCAAGCCCTGTGACTGTTTCAGACTGAAGCATCGAGAGGAAGCGAGACGAGACCAAGACATGAATTCTTACAATGACGGCAGAGCAGAACTGCAAAAACTGGCCAGAGAATTAGCCGAGGTCGAAGATAAGGCCAGATCCGAGGTAAAACGATCCTGTTTATGTTAATGGCATTATTTCAAAATTGTCTAATATGGACATACATGAATATACATCTATACTCACTATTTAAAAGTTTGGCTTTCCAGGCAAAAGCGGCTAGAGAAAAAGCTCAAAAGTATTTAGCCGACAACCGCAAGCTGGTGACGTACCACAATGAAAAGTGTTGGTCGGATGAATACGAAGAAGACTTGGTCACTGTCATAATGGCCGAAACCAAGAAGAGAATCGCAAAGATGAGAATGGCTAAAGAAGTCCAAGTAAAAACTAATAAACGACCCATTAGACACTTGACTATAACCAAACTAGGAACGCCAGGTTGTTAAACCCCTTTAAAAAAAATAAAGGAGTTAAAGACTGTGTGGGCAAAATTTAACAAAACATGTAAAAATTTAGGATGTAGTGAAAATAGGCAATGTTTGAAAAAGTTTTCACAATACCTAATATAAAAGTAGCGTATGTTATTAGGGACGTTTATTATGATATGTATAATGGTCAATGATGGCAATGATAAGTAATGAATTTCCAACTTGGAAACTAATTTGACCAAGTGGGGAGAAAACAATATATTTAAAAAATAAAAACACCGCATGCAATCCTATAAAATTAAAAACGTTTAAGTAAAACACATTTTTTTTAATACTGACTTCATTTTTAAAGTGAATAATGAATAAAATTTTGAAAAATGACTTCGTCTATACCTACCGTAGACTAGTTTATTTTACATCAAATTTGAAAAAAAATATTGATTATAAAACAAAAGTAACGAAAATCCCAAAATGGTTTTCTACCTTATTGTTGAATACACCAAGACGCTACTTTTGTGAGGTATTATGAAATCGATTTCAAAAACTGACTTTTTTCACTATATCCTAGTCTACATCTTTTAAAAAATGTACAAAATAAATTTGTATAGTTTTTTAATTTCAACACGTGTTAAACTTTAACACATACAAGTTGTAGACAAACATTTTTGTTGTTGAAAAATTACCGTTTTTGTCAGTTTTAGGTATGCTTTAAGCATTATTAATTCGCCTACAAAAACGTTTCGACTTTGTAAACTAGGCGAGTCCGCTTAAATGGACTTTCATGTTTTAGTTAAGAACAAGCAAAGCGTTGGCTTTAGACGGTATCAAATCGAAAGCGCTGGTCAAGAGACCGTCTGAGAAAAACTGCTGGTCCGAATCGGACCAACAAAAAGCAATCGAAGAGCAAGAAAAAACGTTTGTTACCTAAACAAAAAACAGTTATTCTTTGTTGAAGTACCAAAGCGAATTATTGTAGGTACCAGAAAGAACAGTGGCGCATAAAAGAGGCGGCGAAAAAGAGGAACGAGGAAATGGAAAATGGACGGCGGATGGTAGAGGAAGCAAAGCTCAGAGAACAAGTAGAATTAATGATGATCTGCCAAGAGGAGATGAAAAGGAGCGAAAAAAAAGAAAGGCTATGGTCCGAGTACGACAAGTGTCGCAGCAAAGCCCAAGTAGACAAAATGATCAAGTTCAGGGAAGACCTGGACAAACAATGTGTAAGCGATAACACTTGACTTGCTTTACTCTTTTCCAAATTTGTCCCAATAACATTGCCTATTGTTTCAATTCTGTCGTCAAGCTGGATTTGTTTTATAGCTTAAAAGATAGAACGCCAAGTTTAGTGTTAAGCAGTTATTGTTGCAGAACAATTGCCAAACGGTGGTATTTTTTTAAAAATAGTCTTTAAAAAGTTTTTTGTAGATTTTAATCAATAGTTGTAAAGTATGTAAAAAGCTGTATTTTATTTTAGAGAGCTAAAGAAACTAGTCACTCGGTCGACATACAAGACGATGTACAACGGTCCGATTGGTATGAAAAGTTATGTCAAACAGAGAACGAAGAATTCATATCTTATGCGTTGACAGTAATTGAGAAGAGCAAGCAGTCAGGCAAACCGATTGTGCCGCTTTTAAGATCGGTCAATGTAAGTGTTGTAATTCTAAAAATCGATACGTTACATAAAAATAATAAAACATTGTAATATGTTTGTTTTTAGGATTTTCTGAAAAAGTACAATTTATCAATTGACGAAGAAAATAAAAAAGTTTTCAAAAATAAACCCAAAGCTTTTGTTCGGAGTTCAAGGGTTATAGCAGCATGTCTGTCAGACAACAAAGAAACAAACTGAATTTTGTACAAAATTGTATTTAAAAAAACATATTTATTTACATTAAAAAATTACATAAGGCACGTCAGTGTGTTTAAGTCTTTTTAATTATTACACGTAATGACTACAACAAAAAATTGAGCAAATAATATAAAAATAATAATAATATGAAACTAGTTTTGTAAACTTAGTGAGCTTAGTGAGCTTAATAAAATTCTGATTTCACAAACCAATAATTTCATTATACAATATATATTATAAATAAGGCACATTTTAGTCAAAATATAAATATATAAACATACAACTATAAAATTGTGATGGCACTTTATTGAAACACAATATTAACATTTTATCCATGGCATTTTTCTTGGTAAACTATAGTGTGTATTCTCGAGTCGGAGGCCTGCATATTTCGCCGCAGCAGTCGTTTGCATACGCCTCATGGCTACCACACAAATTGCAACAATCCTAAAAATGAATGTAATAATATGTAATGTTTTGTTATATTAAAATTAAAATCATATTTTAGAATAACAAAATGGCGTGTTAAAGATTGTGCTAAAAGCCCTTTCCTTCAACAACCCTGTACTGTTGCTATACATAGTTCCGATTAAATTTGAGGTTGGAAAAAACATCGTAACAAGCGACCCTTTGACACTACACCACATGGGGTTAAAGACGCATTTTATTCATATGTGAACTCACTTGAATCTGGACATTTTCCGTTTACCACATATTTTTTGCATAGTCGTTTTAAGATGCCCATCGTCTAATTCAAGAGTTATAATCTTCAGCAACTTATCTTTGCCCCTGGCCAGTTTTACTAAATACATCTTTTGCCATACCAGTAAGCGATATCGTGACACTATTGCAATACGCTCATCGTTTAACGCAGGCTACCAGTTATCAGTCTAAAACAAATGTATTTTTAAATAATTTTTATAAAGTATAATAAAAACCTTTTGAGGCAATTTGTAAGTCATCAAAATAATCACATTATACTCCTCTTTTTTTTTTTATAAAAATAGATTTTTAGTAGTTTTTATTTAAAATTAAAAAAACCAAGTAACACACCTTGCAAAAAAAAAAAAAAAATATACAAAGAACTTGAATTACTTTTTAGAATTGTTTTCATTATCAGTAAAGTTAAATTTAATTATTTAAAGTATTCTAATCAATTGCCATATAAGTTTTGACAAAGCTGTTTTGGACTAAACCAAATACTTAAAAATTTGTTTTTAATGAATTTCTTTATCCCCTTAGCCTAAAATGGTAGCTTAAAACGTATACAGCGTGGTCTACTGGTTTATGGTGTTAAGTTGATATTTATCATATAAATGCGATCAGCAAACTAATTCAACATAGTTCTAACTTCATGTATGCATTTACATATGCTTTATCTGTACACTCGTTGCTAGGTTGTTTTTGAATACTTTTTGAATTTAGTCTCTCAAACTCATTGACTAATTTTGAATATTTATGATTTGAAGCTTCAAGATCTAAATCGTAAAATACCTCAAATTAGTTTAATTTCAAATAATTTTAATAACTAGTATTAACATTAGTTTTAACTCTTGTTAAATTAACTTTAGTTAATTTGAAAACAATAGTTGAAATTAATTTACCCAAATTTTAATTAGTATTCAAACTTTTTCATTTCATTGCTCCTTCGAGTATTTTAAATATTTTGACAGCTACCAAATTATCAATTTCTCACTACAGTATACGTAAATCCATAATTTCCACGGCTCACTTGACCAACTCCCTAGGAGCTGCAAAGCACACAGTTTGAATACCTCTTAATAAAATTAATTTAAGACGATTGGGTACCGGCCTTTATTAAGGAGTTTTGGGTGGGCAGTTTCTGGTTTTTTTTCTGTTACGCGTTGTCGTTGTGTGCGTATCAAATGAACATTAGTATGAGTGTTGTTATCTTACCCTCCCGTCCTCGCACCTGTCTAATTCATTGTTGAAATGACTCTCGTACGTACACGCACAAGTCGGTTAAAACGGCTACTGTTCAGGATTCTTACAAATTTATGCTGCAAAACTAATAATTTTCCTTTAATCAGTCCGATCGTTGTATTGATGCGATAAGACTTCTGAAAATAAATTTGAGTTCAGTGTGAAGTCTACTCAAGATCGGTCAGGCCACTTTTCCAGTTTCATTTAAAAGTATTTTTTAAACACTACTACAAGATTTAACATTTTTCAAAAAAATTAAATCAAAATTGTGGAATTTTGAGGGCAAAATTAAAAAATGTAAGCTGACCGATATCAAGTAGACTTCATGCCAAATTAGTATTAATTTTCAGAAGTCTTATCGCATCAATACAACAATCGGATTGATTGAAGTAAAATGGGTAGTTTTTGATGGAAAAATTGGTTGGTACCCAATTGCCTTAATGACATTAATTTAACACAAATCTAAATAGTGTAATTAGTGGTTATTTTTTTAATTTTTATAATAAATAATTATTTGAATTAAAATTAAAATAAGAAAATGATTTTCAAGGTTTGATTATAACACATATAAATATTATATTTTTTTGGTTGTATGGGATTATTTTTAAAACATCAGCCAAACTAACTAAATTGTTCACCAACCTCATTATTTTTATCTTCCAACACTTGAAAACATTTGTTATGTTCCACTTTACTTTCTTTTAATGTATTGTATAGAGTAGTCATTTCAATGTCATTAGTTTGTAATACTTGGAGATTATCGATTTTCATTTTTGCTGCAGTCAATTGATTACTCTTTTCAGCGAGTCTCGTTCTTAATGTATCAACTTCAGATTGCAAGTCCTTAAAATACAATATAAGTTATTTGAAAAAAAAAAAAAAATAGGCTATTACTTACTTTAAGTTGTTTGTTGAGCGCTTTTTTCAAAATGGCGTCTTCCGATTTATACATTCTGCTTAAACGCTCCTGTACTCTTATATTATTCTGCAATTCGGATCTCTCCCTGGACGAAATAAAAATTATTACATAAATTAATAAATATGCAGTAGTTTTAAAAAAGTTTTTGTGAAATTTGTCAATTCAAAATACTAACGCAACAGATATATCTTCAAACATTGGAGAACTACATTCATCGACCACCCAAAACTGATCCAGTTCTTTAATGCGTTTTGAAATAGATTTTTCTAAATCTTTGAGCTAAATGAAACAATTAATTTATATAAAATAAAAAAATACAAATACAAATACATAAAAGAATATACGCAATATACTTTTAATCTAAAGCTGTTGACTACAATTTCGGCATCACCAAATTCTGGAGTAGAACTCTGATTTTGTTCTTCATATAAATTTCTCATTCTATCTAGCTGAAAAAAAATGTAAATGTTAAAAAAAAAAAAATTATATTGACATATCACTTATTTCATAATTACTTCGGCTAGCATATCGTGTTGGTTAGTTTGTTTTTCTTTAAACATTTTCGTTAGAGAGCTTATATAATTTTTATTGGATATTTCATTTTGAGCAAATATTTCCATGTGTTGTTCCATACCACAAATCATTTCCTTTAGCGATGTCACTTCTTGTTCTGACACTTTTAACATTTCTTTTGTTTTCTGTTGCTTTGCTTTCAGTTTTTCATACCGTTCTTCAGCTTCTTTATGTTCATTTACAAGCATATCACAATAAATAGAAAATTCATTTTTTACAAACAAAAAAAAGGAATAATAACAATCATAATAAAAATGTTTTTAAAGATGTCTTGACTGTCAAGGAGTCGAAGAGTAATATATATTAATATTTAATTAAGTTGGTTTAATTTTTCACGATTTAAAAGAACTTGTTAGTTATAAGTTGTAATTATTATAATTTGGTTGATAAATATAGATATAAATGCAATTGTTTGACTATTGTAAAAACAAACTAATTATGATCAGTCATTAGTCAGCTATCATACACAACAACAAGTATGCTATATTTTTAGAGGCTGCTATTATTAAATAAAAACCCTATCCACAAATATTAATTTTAATAATGCGTATCTAATAATTGTAACTCAGAAAAATAAAACCCACAAGGTGGGCTCTTTTCATGCAGACGTACATAAGTGACAACTATTATTATTTTGAGGGAAGAAAACGAAAAAGTTTTGGATTAGTAATAATTATTAAAATATATTCTAAAATCAAAAAAATATATATTGATTATCAGTTAGTTGGTGCATTAATATTTAAAATGTCTAACCAGTTAACTGTGTGGTATGTATATTGTATAACGTATACGGTATATGTGTAACTATCCTAATTACAAACACGTCGGATAGAAGTAATAAAATCCAAAGTTAGAAATTTAACTTTTTATTTATTTTTTCTTATATTACACATAAATTGCATTTATATAAATAGAATAATATTATAAATCAATTTTATGTGAGGACTGAGATATATTTACACTAGTCACTGGTATATTTGGTCGTATGGTTTTATTTTTATGGATTTACCTATACTCTGTTGATGCACAATGATTCTACTAAAATATTTATTTCACTGGTATGGTGTAATTTTAATAAATTAGGATACGTCCATTGTGCTTTTTGATTTATAAACTTGGAGACAGTCATTTAAACTCACATAGATAGCCCTATGGGCTACGACAACCAATTCAACGTTGTCAGAAATGTTGAAATGGTTGTCAGAAATTAATATAGTACAGCAAAAACCACAAATCAAACTTCCACGTATAATAGGTGTTTATTTTTAATTATTTCATTGCAAAGACCAAAGCTAGAAACTTTCAGAAAATGTTAGATATAGGTTGCACATTGCGCTTAATATCTGTTAGAAATCTGAACAGAATCATATTATTCTTTATTGTACATAGGTTTAATTATTAAGTCAGGGGAATTATTAAAAAACAATTTAGTAGGCAAGCTGTAATTTTGAAATTTTGTATCTGACATAAGATTATTTTCAATGGACATTTTACTTATAGATTATCTGGTTTTGGTAATTTTGTTTTCAATTATCTATTTTAGTGTTTGTTTGTAACATAGTAAAAAAACCTGTGGCGGTCAACGTGTTAAATAGGACATGTAATGATAATTTTTAATAAGAAATAATACTTAGATTAAAAATTTGGTATATATTTTAAATTTAAATAGTTTCATAAAGACGTTCAGTGTATTAAAGATGATCAAATTTACAACAAAAAAAAAAAAACGCTAAAGATACTTTAACAAACAAACACTTAATATGACAACACTAAATTATCTAGACCTCTTACAGGATATTTAAAGATATTTTTAGTATTTAATGCAATATTATGGTTTAATATTCTTTTAAGTGCTTTATTTAGCTTTGCCTTGAGCAGCAACGGCAGCAATTGCTTTTTTCACAGTTTCTTCATCTCCTAAAAACTTCATTGAAACAACAGGTTTAAAATTTTCATCCAATTTGTATTCAAATGGAATACCAGTTGGCAAATTTAAACCCATAATTTGGTCATCAGTCATATCTGTAAAAAAAAAAAATCAATGATAATATTTAACCAAAATATATCCTTATGCTACCTCTACACTCTCGCCAAGGCAATGCCAGTCAAAGGATTTGAGGCGAGAGTGCAAATGATTTGAAAATGGGCTTTTTGCGGTTTGGAATCAGGAACAATGAATTTATAAAGATGATAAATAATAATACAAAATAACTACTGTTCATTTGTCAGAATTATCCGGGTCGGTTTTTCACATATACAATTGTTAAAAAAGGTATATTTCCAGTTCACTCAAATTAATTAAATTTTACTTTTCACAGTTAGGTCATTGTTCTTTGAGAGCCGCGATATACAGGTGATTACAAAAGAATATCATCCTGTATTTTTAATTTTTAAATATTTATAACACAACTTGGTTCTACTAAAATGTATAAAGGAAAAATTTAATGTTTTATTTTAGTCTTTTACTGTTATAGGTACATAATGCTATAATTAAAATGGTAATTTAGGATAATGTTTACAAAGTAAATTAATATTTTATAACAGCTATGGCTTCACTAAAAATGTATGTTAATGTACAGCCTAAGATTCCTATACTGGCAGTTTTTTTTTTAAATTTCACTTATGAGATATTCCAAATTTTTAGAATAGAAGACTACTTAGTCAGCCAGTATTATTTTCAATATATTTACTTATATATAATTTTGAGAAAAAATATGAGTTAAAAAGTAGAATTGTAGTTATACAACTCTTTTATTAAGAAATTTACAGCATTTTCTTAAATCCACTTACTGTCCAAGTGCTTGACTATGCCTCTGAGACTGTTTCCATGAGCAGCTATGATAATACGCTTGCCCTCTTTCAACTGTGGAATAATAACATCGTTCCAGTAAGGTAATGTTCTTTGAATGGTAAGTTTTAAAGACTCGTACATTGGAAATTCATCTTTTGATGGTTCGTTTTGGTAACGTAGGTCATTAACAATTTGATCATAATATGCATGGCCTTCTTCCATAGTAGGTGGTGGAATATCAAAACTCCGTCTCCATATATTAACCTAATAATTTTAAAGCAATTTGCAAAAATTGAAGTTTGTAACTTAATTAATAAATACAAATTACCTGTTCTTCACCATACTTGGCTGCAGTCTCAGACTTGTTAAGCCCAGTGAGACCACCATAATGTCGTTCATTTAAACGCCAAGTTTTGTAAATTGGAATATTATCTTGACCGAGTTCCTTAAGTATAGAACCCAAGGTATTTTGAGCTCTCTTCAGCACAGACGTATGGGCCACATCAAAAGTATAATTATTTTGCTTCAAAGCTTTACCAGCACTTATTGCTTCTTGTTCGCCTATTAATTACATAGAACATTAAACATAATTTATAATAATAGTATTATTATAAAACATACATCTTTACAAAAAGGCATACCTTTTGGACTTAGATCTGCATCAAACCATCCACAAAACAAATTTTTCTGGTTCCATTCGCTCTCTCCGTGTCTAACCATTACAATTGTGTACTTGGCCATGGTTGACCGACGTAAAATTTGCAATTTAGAAATAATTATTAACGTTCGGTTTTTTTGAAGGTGAAATTAGCAATAGATGACCTTATACTATATAGTTGTTAACTATACTAGTGAGTTTTGAATGCGAAACCGCGAAGACCGAAGTGCGAACTGACAATTGACAGACTCGGATAATACCTATCTAAATTCTGGATTTGATTTCTGAATGTCAAGACTCAAGATCGATTATTGGTTGAGCGGCGAGTTACCGAACCACGATGTCAGATAACCTCGAAGCCATGAAAAACTAAAAGGTTAGTCAGCAACTTGTGCTATCAATTTTTACAAAAAGATGCCATTTTTTCCCCTTAACAAATCAAGAAAACCGGCGGCTATTTTGAGTTTACCACAAGTTGCTGACATACCTGTATATTTTCTCATGCTAAAACATTATCAATATTGACGTTTGACAGCATAATGCATATATAGAGGGCGCTGTTATAAAAATATAATAATATTGATACTTGATATTGAAGCACAGATTAGATAGAAAGGTTTTATCTTATTTGTGATTATGGTAAGAAAGTAGAAACTAGAAACCCTGTAGGCTGTAGCCACTAGGCTGTACATTAATCATTAACGAATAACGATATTAATTTTATTAAATATTTTATAATAATTAATTAATAATGCACGTCTTGGTCAAGACTCTTGGACGCCCAGAAAGAAGTTTATAACGAACTGTTATAAGACGTCCGTTAATAGTGTAGTGACTCATGTATTCTGTACTTTTTCTTTAAATCTTTGAATAAATTACAAAGAAATTAATATTGACTATTGAGTAATAAATACTGAATATTTATACTTAATTTCTTTTCAGAATTATCATTTTAAAATTAATATTTTTCTGTTGGCAAGTTCCAACATATTAAAAACCATGTTTATAGATGAAACGACCGATCTAACATCATTAGTTGATATTAGTTGTAACTGGTTGTCGAATGTCGATGGTAAGGATATTAGAGACTGTATGGTGGTTCGGCTACACCAAACACGAGAAGAAGATATTGATGAAATGTATGATTCTTGTAATTTTTTAATATTTGATATTAATTTCTTATTTCTATATTATATCTGTAGGGATTACTCGAGCATGTTACAGTTCTGCATTAACTTCATGCAACCAAATTTAAATAATGAAGACTGTGATCAAGACCTACCAACATTTACCATAGAACTAAAAAGCAAACCTCGTTATATAATTAAAAAAGTTGTTTTGTGCTCCCAGGTAAAATATTATTATATGTCAAGATTTTGTTGAATTTTATCTAATATTATTATATGTATATATTTTTGTTTAAGGCTAAAATTATTGAACTTTTTGGCAACAATGAAGAATATATCTCTACACATAATTCTACGGGTATCAATAATTTTAACATTCATACAATGTGTGTAAATAATACCGCTTGTAGTTTAAAGCTCAAGCAATTAACAGACGATAAATTTGGGTGGATATATTGTTTACATGTTTATTTATTGAAAACTGAAGATAATTTTAATTGTAAAATTGGACCTGTAAATTTACAAAATGTAATAAATATATTAAATTCCGAGTCCGTACCAACAAATGTTTCCATGTTACTTTCTACATTAAGTCAAAGAAATTTATCTTCTAAGAATTCCACTCATAATAATGAATGTTTTGAAAATGGTATTGTTCGCCTAGAAAAACTTGTACAAGAAAAGTTTAATAGCATGGAACAACAGATACATACAGTAGCAAGTAATGTAGAAATGTTAAATACAAAGTTTGATAATCTTCTTGCTTTACTTAATAAAGAAAAATAATTATTATTAAAAACTACTTTTCTGTTAAATATTATACTGTAAATAAAATTGTACGTATAATATAAATATTACATTTGTCAATAAAATTAAGTTGCTATTAAGTTTATTTTAATATATTATAAAACCATAATTATGTTCTTTAATTTTTAAGTTAGTATTAGTGATTAAAAAATAATAACATTGTTGTCAATCAAAACCAGTTTTGTAATTGTACTATAAGGAACCTTGCCTGTTTTTAATGTTCCTGACCATTTGCTTGATCGTACACTCACACATACAGTTATTGGTAATAATAAAATAATGTAAATTCAATTTATTGTAATGCAGTCTACAATAAAATACACAAAACAGACAGATGGGACAATTCTATAATACCATAGAAAGTAATTTAAAGTATTTTCAAGTCTTATTTTAATATATAAATCAAATTAATACATAATACTTCAAATAATTTAATGTATAATAAATTTACAGTTCTGATATATAATCACAGAATGCTTGAAAGTAAAATGAGAGCTTATAATTACATTATAAATTATAATTGAAATAAATGATACTCAACTAAAAGTAATGTTTGTTAAATTATAATTGGTATAAATAATAAAAGTTCCTTTTGGCTTATGTAAATATCAAGTACAAAAGTAAATATAATACAACATTTTAATTTGTAGTTTAGATAAAAAAAACTATATTAAAATTGTCAAAAGTAATGTCAAATGAACTATTAGAAAATTGAGTTAAAAATAAAAAAGTATTAACGTTTTTTTTTTTATAGTAAATATTTAGATACTAATGAATAAGAAAGTAATATGAAAATCCTATAACAAAAAAAAAAAAAAAATTCTAACATACTGGACATTTTTCAAGCAATGAAAATATGAGAAAAATGCTTAATTTATTCTAATAAATAATCTATAAAAATAGAACAAAATACAGTTTATTATATCTAAAAGTATTTTGATGAATGGTCAAAAAAAAACTGGTTATAATAGTTTAAAACTTTTTATACATTATTTGTTTTCTGTTTTGGTTTTCTTAAATTTCACTGGATCAGGCGATGAAACTGCATGACATTTTTCTCGTTTGTGTGGCTCAGGAGATTTTGATGGTGGTGAAGGTGGTCTAGAATCAGATGCCTGGGAGGTTGAGTCTAAGCTAGTCATTGATCCAAGCCTAAATTTAAAAGTTTTTAATTAGTTTCCTTATATTTAAATTAAGGTATTTATATTAGGGTGGTCTTTAAATTTGACAATGTAAGATGGCCGTAATTCGGCTCTAAATATTTAAAAAATATTTCTTTAATTTTTTCAGATTTTTATTTAATTTCCTTAGGTTTTCTGTTTACACATAAAATGTATACTGTCATTCAGTGCAGGCTGCCGTGCACAAGTACCGCATTGTCTTAGGGCCAGGTCTGCCAAATGACAGTATACAGTAGATGTGCAAACAGGGAGACTAAGAGAATGAAATAGAAATCTGAAAATTTAGAGAAATATTTTTTAAATATTGGGAGCTGTATTACGGTCATCTAACACTATGTCAAATTTAAGGACCAACCTAATTTTTTTTATATAAATATGTATAAAAAAATTGTGTTATTACGAGCACAAATTAGAACTAGAGCCTGTCGTTAATGTGTCATCATCATGGTGTTTGCTATCAGGATCCCAACAATGAAGTCTTACTCGCCAATTTTTGACAAGACCATCCCATGCCCTACGCGTGTATTTCAAATTCTTAGGAGGGGTCTTGGGATGTTCCTTCTTACGTTCATGTCTAAAATCATTGAAAAAATTAAATATAATAATTTACAGCAATACACAATAAAAGTAAACTTACTTAGGAACTTCTTCTAAATATCTTTCATATCCGATAGTATTTTTACCAAAATCAATTTGCTTTTGTCTTCTAACTAAAATCATAGTATCAGTCTCTCGTTCCAACTTTGACCTAAAGCAAAAAATTATTTTAAAAATGTGTAAATTTATTTAAAAAAACAAATTTTATTAATTAGAATGGATTATTATTAGAGAAAAAAATCATATTTGTTATTATTAATATTGTATAAGATACTTTGTAGATATTTCAGTAATATGTATGTTGTTTCTATTTAAGAATCAACATTTTATTTAGCGTTTTCAAAGATAACTAACATTCAGCAATGCACTAATTGTTACTGCAAGTACAGTGGTGAATACCAGAGAACTAACTGATATATCTTAAAAGAATTTTACAATCCATTCAAGTTTTAATTACTATATATTAAATTATAGTAAGAAACCTACTTTACCAGCCTCACTTTTTTTTTATCAATAGTATTTTAGCTTTAAATATTCTATTTTTAAATTTTCAGTATGCAGTCTAGGTCACAGATTTATAGATAATAGATTAAGGTCAACTGTATGTAATTTTTATTCCATTTTTAATAAATTAGATACCCATGATTTTATTGAGAATACATGTAACAATTAGCGATCAAAAAAGAAATGTTAAAAAGATATCTTTAACAATGTGTTTCCTCATTCTGCCTATGTCTGACAAATTCTCACCTACCTTTATTGAATACAAATAATAATGTTAGTTGTCACTTAAATCGAAATATTCGTTAAAAATTTGTCTATATAATGCAGTTACAAAGCATAAAATTTCTGCCTGAATGCTTCAATAAAACTTTTCTTTGTGAGCAACCAACGTTTACTTGTTAGTTATCAGTAGCAAAAATATTATCAATTATGAAAAATTTAGACTGTAAACGATGCAGTAATTCGTTTTTGTTTCAGCACAACCATATTTTCACAACGAACATAGTATAGTTTATTTTGTATTTACATTTTTATAACTTGATTCTGCTTTAAATTTTAAATTATAATCAAACTAACAATAACCTAAGTTTTAATAATAAAAACAAATAATAATTTGTGACAGATAATAAGAAAGTCATCAATATGATTAATGTATTAGATAGCTGATTCTATAATATAAGAACTGACTTTTCAAAAGGTAAATTAAAATAGTATTATATTTTATTCTTTAATATTCTAAAAAATGTAGGAAACACATAGATAGGTTAACAGGCTTTGAACTTACAAACCTTAAATTTTAAGTGAAATATCTAATCTATGTATTTTAGTTGATGTTATTAATATTGGAAATAAGTATATAAATAAAACATTTTAGATGTAATCAGAATATTTTCTGGAAACTTACTTTGGACTTTCTACATTATCATGTATATCTTTTTGGTCAACTGAATGTTTAACTTTTTTCACGCGCTCCGGTGTAATGGATCCATTTTCAGAAGTCAAAGAACCACATTCAGAAGTTAATCTTCTTTTGGCATGGTGTAAATTCGTTTTTAAATTTTCTACTTCAGATTTTATAGTAGAATTTTTATAGTCATTTATATTTATATTTTCTTCTTTTACAAATGGACTGCAAATTGTGTCTTCATCAATAATAGTAGATGGCGGTGTTATGTCTTCTTGCTTAATTGGTGTCACCATGTGGACATTATTCATAAATGAGGTTAAACTAAGATCGTCTTGAGGAGCAACTTTCTCAGTTTCTTTTTTTATAGGTTGAAAAACAAGATCGTACAAATCACTGTCATCTTGTTTCTCTTCAGGACTTAAAGTGGGCTCCAACTGTGATTGTGAAGATTGTGAACTCTCGCAAAGTTCAGCCCAGCTTTTTCCTGCTAGATCAGTTAATGTTGACTTACGGTTAATAGACGTCATTTTGAATAATCCGTACCTATTATAAACAATTCATAAAAATGAATAGTTTCTGTTGTGTATAACTGAGATCGTAGTCAATTAAACGTTCAATAACACACAAGGCAAACACATATTTTTAAACTTTTAACATTTGTCACAAAGGCCATTAATTTATAAGACGGACAGCAACAAGCAGAGAATAATTTTCAATTGATATTGTATTAGAATTTAGATATTCGAACTGTGATAATGTAAACAAAAAAAATTATCGTATCGGCGTAAACAAAATTCGCGGGAAAATAGGTTCATTAACAATGCAAGTGGACATTCAATATATTTTTATTTAATTTAAAGCTCTTAAATTATTTCTGATTTATAAATAATAAATTTTATAAAAAAAAAATTATATTTCCATTAATTTTGAAAATGTTTAATCACTTTTAAATTTTTTTATAATTCTTAACAGTAATTCCAGAACTATGATAATTTAGGTTGGTATACGTGCAATACTGTCGTCTTTCCCCAACCCAAACAATTCAGCCATATTTATTATCGACGTTTGTTGTTGTTACTTGCGGCGTTCACCGGGAACGAAAATTATTGGATTTCTCTATCGTTGTATTTCTACTCTTTAATTTTTAACAATCGGAAATCTCTTCAAAATGATGGCCTTGGGTCCAAAAAAGGACGGTAGTCCGAACGTTAAATTTTTTGAATCGGCCGAAACTTTAAACTTGTTAGAAGGCGTTAAGACGTGGCTAATGAAAAACCATAAAAAGGTTTGTAATTCCTATATTATTGTTGTTATTAATTATAAATAAATATTATTGATTACATTTACATGTTTTGTAAATGCATTTACCTTATAACAATTTTCTAAGAAGCACATTTGGTTTACAGTATTTACAGACGGACCCTCCAACCAACAAATCGCTTGCTGCTTTGATACTACAGTTAATTCAATTCCAAGAAGATAATCTTGGAAAAAATGTTAGCAAGCCCCCACTAACTCGCCTACCGGTATGTGCACAAGTTGATTTACATAAATTATATTTTAATACTTAATTTTATACTAATTATCGTATATCCTCTATTTAACTAAGTGTTGGTTAATGATTAAGTCATAAACTTTCTGTTATAGATGCGTTGTTTTTTGGATTTCAAACCAGGCGGTGCACTTTGCCATTTGCTAGCTACTGTATACAAATTTAAAGTGGATCAGGGTTGGCGAAGATTCGATTTCCAGGTCAGTAAGGTATGATTTGGCGAGACGAGCCTTCATTTCACCTCACCACTAACCACTAATCGGACGTGCACGCCTGACCTGTTGTTATAATCCCACGCTGTCAATTTGTGTTGCTATAGCTCGTCTCCAATTTATTTTATTGATAACCTATTACATGTACAAGATTTATTCGTGTTGTGTGCTTGTTCTGTGGCAACCACCAAATTAATACATACCAAGCACGCATTATATGCACCTTTCTATCCACATTCCATGTCTTAATCATCCTCATTTTATGTGATATACCAACAACAACGGAATCAGCAAGTATTATCTACACATTTTTTTTTTGTTACTGATAATGTCTTCTAACTATATAATTAAATTATTTTTATCATTTACATTTTGGTAAAATGTCAATATTTTAATGAATTCAGCACAAAATATTAATTTACATTGTGTTTAACTACCTGACCAACAAGATTATAAATGTGATTGCGCTAGAACTGCTATTTTATTTTTGTCTATTTTAAATCTGAGACGATATGTAATGATGAGGTAAAGTAAAGTAGGGAGTGGGTAGTATCTGATATGCTTAAAATGTATATTGATGGTCTGGTATTTTACACAATGTTTAATTGAATGTCTTCTGACAATGATTTTTTTTATTTAAAAGTTTAAAAGGGTTTATTAGGAGTTGAGTTGTTTTTTTATAAAATTTACGTAATTTGTATTTCAAAATAGGGATTTTATGTAACAATTATGTTTGAATGCCTAATTCTTTATTTACCTAAGAGAAAATCGCTAACATTTCATAGGACACTATTTTTTAATTTTTTTTTTATTATATTTAATTTCACTCTTTCATATTAAATACCTTCTATAAAACTGCATTGGATTTTAGTGCTAAATATTTTTAATAAGTGTGATTCATTGATTAATAGCTTATTATTAGATTTAAAAATTTATACAACTTTAAGATATTATTTTTTCTGTTAAATGTAAGAATAATCTACAAAAAATACATCCTATTTCCCTTTTTCTTTTTTTTAAATTGACTATTATTAAAATCCCATGATATTTTTAATTGCTCCTGAAAATAAAAACTGTTACTTATGCATTGTTCTGCAAAACGGGCATGTAATTATACAGTATTACGCTATTTTTGATAAATACAATTTAATAACTTTAACCTCCAAGCACTTGCGTATGTAGTGTTAACACTGAGACTTTTGGTACTTATAAATTACTGAAATTCGATGGCTGTAAACACTGCAATGCGATTGTCAACGAGATTTTTTTAGTCGCGACTGCTTAGAGTTAAATAAAAACTAATTTGTAAAACAATATTTAAAGTATGATATTGCATTTTGAAATGACATTAGTGGGAGATACAAAAAAAAACATCCATTTACTATTATTTTATTACATTTTACTATATATGATTCACATACTTTAGAAGAGTTTCTTTAGTGATTAAACAGTAAATAATCAAAATAATACTTATAGCTATGACATAGCTAAAGAAAACACAAAAATATTAATAATTGCGGCCTTAAATTTTTTTTTAATGAGTTGCCATTGTTCTTAATCAAAAACACAAATTTTTTGTAAGCACAAATGTTTTGCACAACACGTATAGTTAAATTATAAATATGATTTGAACCAAAGAGATGGTCCATTTATGGTTTATTGAACCAATAAAGTTTTATGAAATGTAGCGTAATGATGTTGAACTAGCATTAAAGTTACAATATACATGTTGGGTTGTACAAAACTTACTTAGTTTTTATTGATTTTATAAACTGTGTTTGGTCCAATCCTGTTGGTAATGTTAGGCTTTTAATGTTCCCCACATTCAAATTATGCAATAATATTACTGTTTATATTTTTTCCTTTGTGCACCCGTTAATTGTATTTTATACATTTTATGAACCATTATTTAAAATCAATTTATTTTACTATAAATTTGAAATTATTTATTGAAATATGATTAAGAGAGTGCTATTAAGCAGAACCTAACCTTTTTATAAAAGGCTAGCATAAATTATATCAGATTTACAACTATAATTTTGATTAACAAAAGAAATGGTCTCTTGTATTCCACAAATGTTTCGGTGTAAATAAATGGGGCGCTTTATAAAGAATAGTTGACACTTTACAACATTTTGGTGTACTTAGTAAATAGTTTAACATTTGTGTGCTTGATCATGTGGACTAATATATTTCTTCTATGTTCTTATTTACTAATTCAATTGTATATATATAATAAAAATGTGATCGGTGTACATATAATATAAAGTACTTAATATTAATATTACATGAAAAATATTTAAAATATTGGAAAATTATTATAAAATTTGATAACATGTTACATTAAATCAATATAATTATAAACACTTGAGATGTGAAATCACAATGTAAAAATTCGAATTTCTTAGAAGTGTAAACATTAAAAAAACAATTCATTATTAACATAAAAATTATGGTTTATCTAAAAAAAAAAAAGTTAATTTATGTTCAGTTAAATAAGAATTAAAATTTAAAGTGATTTTTATTCACAGTATTTACAGCTATCTGTTTTCAATTGGTAGCTGATATTTCAGACATTTTTTTATTAAATGGTTATAGAAAGTGAGGCACTAAAGTTTTTTGAAAATAAGAACATAGATTAAGCATAAATACATGGATTTAGCTGTATAATTTTTTTGCATTGCTGTTTTGAGTCAGGCATTTTTAAACTGTTCATTTTTTGGGCCAATCATAATCTCAACGGGTTGCTGTGATAGCATATTCCATGGTCTATCTTAGTATGTCTCAGTGGTTAGAACTTACTAAAATTACAACATATTTTGTAAATATTGTAAAGAATGTTAAATTTAATTTTTGGAGATTTCTTCTTCATATTAAATAAAAGTTATTATAGGGGTTCTTGGGAACTTGTTAGTATGACATTAATAATTGTTGTTTCACATCTTAATTATGAAAATACTTCATTTGTATATATTTTACAAATAAAATAATTTTGGGATTTTATTTGATTTTTTATAATAGTTTATTTATATATAAAAATATTTTTAAGTATAGGGTTCATAAATAGATTGTTATAATAATATAAGTTGTTTGCGCAAATGTCAACTCATATTTTATAAAATGATAAAAATAATATGTATATTCACAGAGCCCTTCTAGAATGGATAGGAGCATCGAAATGTTCATGAATGTAGAAAAGGCTTTAATAAGTGCCAAATGTCTTACATTGCCAATTATTTACATTCAATCAGAAGTAGAGAAAAAAGAGAAATTAAAGGAAATCATTAAACGACATCAAGGAACTCTGACTGGTATATAATATACATTACACAATTTTATATTTTTTGTAATAACAAATACTAACTATTTAAAATTAATATAGAAAATGAACAAGAAGCTACACACATACTCCACCCAAATGTCGATCCAATTGACGAAGAATATGCACGTCCAGTTTATAAAAACAAAGAGCGTTGGTCACTGCTTCACTGGTATTATTTTCCTGATTCTTACGATTCTTGGGTAAACGTAGACCTTCCAGTTGACCCTCCTGAAACATTATATAGCAACCAACACACCACACCGTGGAGAGTGAGTCACATTTCTTTTGTAGTTTCAAATGTTATTTATTTTTATGCAAATTAATTGATCTCTCGATTTGTAGGTTACTGCATCTTGGGTTTTAGATTTAGATGTACACAATGAATGGATGAACGAAGAAGATTACGAAGTTGATGAAACCGGAAAGAAAACGGCACATAAAGTATAATAAATTATATTTATGTTGTAAACTCAGTTGCTAACCATGTTTCTTTTTTCAGTTGCGCCTTTCTGTTGAAGATTTAATGAGTAATGATATATCGAGTGGTAAGAAGAAACCAAAAAGAAAACGTACACCATCACCACCTTCTAAACCTAATAAGCGTAAAAGGTATTCAAATTTAAATAAATATTCCTAAATTAAAATATTAATTTATACATCTTATACCAACAGTGGAAGAGGAAACTCTGTTATGACTTTAAAAAAAAATAAAGTAGATGATGATAGTGATGATCTTACTAGAGACCTTGAAGATCCAATACCAGAGCCTAACATAACTGAAATCAGTGTAAATTTAAATCAATCAAAAACTGGTAAGAATATTACTTACATTACACTAAAAGATTATTTATATACTAGTTTGTTATAACAAGAACTGTGGTCTCGCGTATTTGTTATATTGGCGGCCATCAATAAGTATGTTAAAATGTATAAAATATACAGTGCCCAACATAAGATATAAAGGATGGTTTTTGCCATAGTTGTTTGCGTGTTTTTTATTGTTTAAAATTTCTAATTAATTAATTTACTATTTATTATAAAATAATCATAAACGACTATAGTAAAATAATAATATTATGTAGTATGAATGAATTTGATTGTGGTTTGATATCAAATATGAAATTAAGCTAACAAAATCAATGCTCTTTAATGTTGTATTTTAGGATCTTCTTCATCCAAGAAAGATAGCGATTCTCAACCAATCAGAAGTGGTACTTTAATGGATTTAGATGAAGATTTAGATAAAGGTGAAGACAGTAAAACATATGATGGAAACGCTCAAGATGGAACTAATTGTCCGGTTTCTGGAGTATCTAGTACTGGAGGAGCTTTATCTACTATCAAAGAAGAAGGACCTGAAGATAATGCTACTGAACAAATGCATCACATTGTAATACCAAGTTACGCTGCATGGTTTGATTATAACTCAATTCATACAGTTGAGAAGCGAGCTTTACCAGAATTTTTTAATAGTAAGTACTGTGTTCATAAAATGTACTCTTATTTTTTCTTATAATGTTATCTAATTGTAATAATAATATTTATAGATAAGAATAAATCCAAAACTCCAGAAATATATTTGGCGTACAGAAACTTTATGATCGATACTTATCGGCTTAATCCCACTGAATATATGACTAGTACGGCAGCTAGACGTAATTTAGCTGGAGATGTTTGTGCAATTATGAGAGTTCATGCTTTTCTCGAACAATGGGGGCTTATCAATTACCAAGTATGTACAATATAAAATTGTTGCCGTTTAAGATTATTCTATAGTATTACTTACAAATAACTGATAAAATGTAATATTGCTGCTTTAGGTCGATGCAGATAGTAGACCAACTGCAATGGGTCCACCACCAACTTCTCATTTTCATATTCTATCTGATACTCCTTCTGGTTTACAACCGGTAAATCCTCCCAGAACTCCACAACCATCGGCTGCGAAAACATTATTGGATTTGGAGAAAAAGCCATTAATTGTTGAAAAAGACAATACTCATCCTTCAGATTCTTTATCCAACTTTGGGCTTAAATTAGACCAGTAAATAATGTTGTTATTATTAGATATATATATTTTATAATATTAGCTATTATTTACCTATTAGCTATATATATTATACTTATTTGTTGTGTTGGTGATAGGTATGCAAAAAAACCTGGTTTATTAAGAAACAAAACTGCTGCTGGTATGACACGTGATTGGACAGAACAAGAAACGCTGTTGCTGCTTGAAGGGTTAGAAATGTATAAAGACGATTGGAATAAAGTTTGTGAACATGTTGGTACAAGGACTCAAGATGAATGTATATTGCATTTCCTTCGACTACCAATAGAAGATCCCTATTTAGAAGACTTTGAAACTGGTGGGTGTTTTATTGCTTTACTATAAAACCATAATATTACAGTTTAAAGTAGACTGTTATTAAAGACAAACCTTTTTGTGAATTCTGAACAGGTGGTGCTATAGGACCATTATCCTATCAACCAATACCATTTAGTAAATCTGGAAATCCTATTATGTCCACTGTTGCATTTTTAGCATCTGTAGTAGACCCTAGAGTTGCTGCCGCGGCAGCTAAAGCTGCAATGGAAGAATTTGCAGCTATTCGAGTATTTAAAAACTACTTAAACTTTTATTTTTTATTTTTTTTCTTAACTGTATTTTTCTAAAGGATGAAGTACCTTCAGCACTAATGGATGCTCATGTTAAAAATATTGAAGCAGCTACCACAGATGGAAAGTATGATCCAGCTGTAGGTCTTCTACAGGTATAATTTAAAAAAAAATTGTTTTACGTTATAAAAACATTATTGCTGTTAGCTTTATTAAATTGTTCAATTTCCAGTCTGGTGCAAAATGTTTGACTTTTTTCCGCGATTCTAATATTCTATGTTACATTTATATTTATGATTTTTATCTTTTGTTGTATCAGAGTGGTATTGCTGGTACATATCCAGAAAAAGAAGAGGAGAGCGAAAAAGAGAAAAAGGAACCAGAAGATATTAAGGACCCTTCACTGAACGTAGATAATGACAAAGCAACAATAGGAACTAAAACGGAAAAAGAGGAATCGGATAAAGAGAAAGATAAAGATTCTATGGAAGTAGATAAAAAACCGTGTGATGAAAATTCAGCCACCAACCAAATTATTAATCACACTACAGAAGAAGGAACTGAGAGAACCGTCAAAGTGAGTTTTTATTTTTTCATAGTGTTTCCCTAATATTATAGCGTATTTTTTATTTAGGATTCTGAAGTCCAAGCTGCCGCTGCTGCTGCTTTGGCTGCTGCAGCTGTCAAAGCCAAGCATTTAGCTGCAGTTGAAGAACGCAAAATTAAATCCTTAGTAGCTTTATTAGTAGAAACTCAAATGAAGAAGCTAGAAATTAAATTAAGACATTTCGAAGAATTAGAAACTACTATGGAGAGAGAACGGGAAGGCTTAGAATATCAAAGACAACAATTGATACAGGAACGACAACAGTTCCATTTAGAACAATTAAAAGCTGCTGAATTTAGGGCTCGGCAACAGGCTCATCATAGATTACAAACAGGGGGAGCTGCTGGGGTTATACCTCCTCCTCCTCCTCCTGTAGTTTCAGCTCCAGAGAATGTTGCTCCAGCATCACCTGCGCCACCGCCTGTCGCTACATAAGATATGTATTTTCAGAATTACAAAACCTTATAATGTGAGTCAATGTTCAAGTTATTTTTTTTTGTAAATATAAAAGATTTTGTTAGGTCTTTAGTGAACCATAATGTTAATTATGTTACTTACCTATTTAATGAGTATGTGTCAGTTGGCATTATTTTATTTATTTTAATATTACTATTATTGTTTTTATAAAATCTATTTTCAACCTATATATTGAATAATAATTGACATAATATCTTAAATAACAACTAAGCATTGGTAGTACTAGCATTCTAGCTGTTATGTTTATTTTATGTAATAACTTAAACTTCTCTATTTGATAATAACATTTTATAAATATAATACAAATTTAAAATAATTTTTTTTTTTAATTTTAATTAATATTTAGTTTTATTATTTCATTTTCTCTAGTCCAAATTTTAATCCTACCAATAGAATCTATAACTTGTAGTATTTAATATGGGGTGAATAAAAACATATTTCTATTCACCTTACATTACATGGTAAATGAAGATAAATTTCATTGTATCATCAATTTTGATACACATTTTTTGTTTATTTATTGACTATAAAATAATGACTTGTCAATTTATATGAGTATGAAATACAATAAAAAATGTATGCTATTGACAATAGCCAGTACATAAGAAAAAAAAAGGGTGGCCTTAATAACAAGAGCAGAGCTAGAATTAAGGTTTGTGAAAAAAGTCGGAAAGAAAAAATGAGAGTAATTGCCATCAGTGACTTGTATACCAGTCAGAATTAAGGATATGTAAAGAAAAGAAAATTATGACTAGATCTTAAATGAGGTATTGAGTAAATGACTTAATGTATCAGAAAGAGCTGGTAAAACTAACTGGACTTATGAGCTGATGTCTAAATGAAGTGAGGAAGAAACCTTGAAAAGTTTAAGTGTCCTAACTTTTCCATAAAATATAAATAAATGGTTCAATTTGTGTTGTGGTTTTAGTAGTTTTGTTTTTGTATGTATGCCAATCAAATATTCTATTTTGATTGGATGTTGCTTTAATAATAATATTTTTTTACTATTTTACTTTAAATTCCCTTATTTATTATGTGACAAAATTATAAACAAAATCTGAAGAAGACAAGTTTATTTAGCTTTTTAAATATATCCAACATCTAGTGTCATAACTTATAAACAAACTTAATTATTTAATTTGTAAATATGAATCGATAAAATAACAAGTGAAACATAATTGTAGTTGAATCTGATTATTCAATGAGACGAATTTAAAGCAATAAACAGTTATTTACAGGAAATGTTTATATTTTTAAATTACATTAAATATTCTTAATTATGTATTTAATGAAACTTTAATAATGTAATAATGAAAATGATATTTTGTTGCAGGTTGGGGTAATTTGTTTAAATTCTGAATTGCCAATTTAATTCTGTCTTTGTAAGTATTTCTAAAATCTACATTGTGTGAATATATGACATTTTTTTTTTATAGGGTTTATAGTAATTTTAGTGGATTTTAAATTTCAAATGCACTATGTATAAAACTCATATTAGTAAGAAGCAATTTACAAATTAAATTATTTTGTGTTATGACTTGCGGTGTACATTTTTTATGTAGAAAACGTTTTTATACTCATATTTTGTATGTAAAGTTTGGATTGTAATGTTAATATAACATTATTTCTATAAATTATAGCTCGCGGATCCCAAATCTATGTTTTAATGTTATTGTGTAAGTTTTGGTTTACTATAACCAATATACAATAATGTATATAAAGAAATGTGTAAATTCCATTCAATTTTAAAGAGTACATATTTCCATATATTGTATAACAAATACTTGATTGACGAAAAAAATAAAAGACTATTATTAAAATAAATTGAATTGTTTATTAAAAAATATATATATATATACATATATTTAAATACTTTATTATAACTAGCTTATTAAAGTGATGCGATCAATATAGTACATTGATTAGTGTGTTTCGTTAACCTTGACTTATTATTAGTACAGTACATTATAGCTGACCATACAGTAGATTGATAATGATTTTTTTTTTTAATATGCGTGTACAAAATGAATACAATGTCTGTTGTGACGTGTTATTGATGGTTAATATTTTTTATTATAGTACAACACTTTTACAATTTTTTTTTTGTCGATAACTTAAATATCCAGGACCAGACACCCACAGTCAAATAATAATAATAGCACAACTAGTAACATAATAAGTATACAATTTTTTACACGGGTTGTCATCACAAATTCAACGTTCGAAAAACAATAATATTATAAAGCGCGTGAGCAGAGAAATAGCGTTATCACGGTTTTTGCAGCAATCTAAGGCCAGGCGATACAAAATGTGCATTGCAGGCTGGGTCAAGTGCAATATGAGAGTTATGTATACACACACATACGAGTCATGCGTGTACCCGCGCTAAAGAACACACATTGCACACAACACAACCTATTCTGCGGACATTTTTTCCAAACGACACAACAGCAGCAATGATTTGGTGTTCTTCTGACCGGCAAAATCAATCCAGGTGTTTTTTTCGTGGAAAACCTCTGCTGTTGACGTGTTAGCGAAATTCGCCAATTGGCCGGGACATGTGCAATATTAGTAGAATTTGCACAATAGTTACACAAGTCGTCGGCCGACTAGCAAAAACGCACGAAACCTCTCTTGGGCTGTGTGTCCGAGAACGCGGCGGCGGCGGCGGTGTTGAATGCCTAGAAGGAGAAAAACAAAATTTTGTTAAATACCTTTATATAGCTAGAGAATTAGTTCACACCGCGGTTGATATACACGATCATTAGCGTTATAATTTTTTTTTATTTTTACAACTCGGAAACTCGTTTTTGTAATTTTGAAAAACCTATCCTTGGATAGACCACCGACCGTCTACTATACTGTCTATCCTTGTAACGAAAAAAAAAACACGTTTATAATAATAATATATTATTTTATTATAACCAGTGTACAAGTGGTGGTTAGAACTAAGTAGTTTTTAATTTTTTTTATTTATGTTTAATTTTTAATTTAATTTTACTGAATATACACAACAATGTAATTTACATACAATATGCAAAATACTAATAATTATAATTATGCGTTTAGAAGCGTTATGAATGACATATTACACTTTTAACGGGATTTGGCAACGTGTTAACTTTTTTTTATTTTTGCATCTGTATTGAAACAACTGCCGCTGCGGCTATGTAGGTATAGTGATTACAACTGATATTCGATGACTCCCGGTGTTCCATTACACGTTATTTTTATTTAATGATAAATCAATGTTCTCGTTACATTCCAAATACACACCCCTACAACGACGATTCGACACGGGTGTTTATATGCAAAACAAACGTTTTTAATGTCGATGCCGAATTGGAAAGGTATTTTATTATGATTTAATTGACATTCTGTACACAAAATAAGAAGAATTATGTGGGCAATTATTAAAAACGCGGCATAGGTAGGTCTCTTGAGTTATTATTGATAAAATAAAAAGACTACCGACTGCGTGCACCGGACAGCGATTCACTCAAGTTTAAACATCTGTCGGTCTTCCACGTTTTTAAACCACACGGCCAAATGTTAAATTTAAAAATACACACGGCAACGGCAGGAACAATATAAATCGATTTGTTATTCGGGGCACGATAGTTTAAAGTTAATGGTTTTTTTTTGTAGTTTCCTAAACACAGACATCTTCCAAGTTCAGTAAACATTGGAGTGTGTTTCCAAGGAACATCACTCGTCCTCATTGGTCATAAAAGTATCAACTGCAGGATAGAGCTGAGCTCTTGTGTTAAACTACCCGTTTAAAAATACGCCCCTATTCCGAGCTAAAACGCCAATTGGACTTTCATTAAAAAATATTTAAATAATAATTCATAAGGTCGAAATCATTCTTAACAAGTGTGACTGGGCTACATAAAAAAAACCGTTATGGTTTAATTTATGAATCGTATTTAACGTGAAACGTTTTCAATACGGATGGAAGTTGCGACGAAGTAGATATAGTTATTAATTTAGTAAAAATATATAATTCAAACGTTTCCCGCTTTATACCGATTTTACTTAAGATGTTAAAAACTGTTAGAACCAGTTTTTCGTGACCACCATTCATCCGGGTTTTACCGCACGTCTATTTATTTAATTTTTTTAATTACACTGATCGTTTGGAATTCTTAGATTAGTTTTACTATGGTTAAACAAAACATCGTATAGGTACATAAAAATCAGTTATATCACACTATAACGTATTGGAAAAAACCGTTCACGCATATTCTAAACCGACCGGACAGCACAAACTGTCGTTTGGATTTGTGAACGAAATCCACTAATTTAAATAATACAAAATACAAATGCCATTACAGGATAATATCAGCAATTTATATAAACGGATGATCCCGTTATAAAATATCCAGACAGTAGCAGCAGCCAAACTAAGGAAACGGTTTCTTCAGCACCACCAAAATAATACACAACTGCGAAACCGAAAGAAGTGGTGGTGATGGTCGATTGTTTTTTTTCCATAATATACACATAATTGCAAACGACTGATGAGATGTGGAGCGATTGTGCGCAGAAGTATTAACCATATAACCATGATGAATTTTGCCAATCATGCCAAGAATCTTGTTCTAAACGGTAAAAACCGCTCCTTGTCGACGCCTGCACACGCGAACGTTGTCCGTCCACCGAGATGCAGTAGTAGCCTACGGCCGTAAACATCAGCTCTACCCACCAGTCGGTCGGTTAGATTTTTTTTACCTATAAACCGTTCGCGAAAATAAAACCTTAATTACGAGCACCAACTACAATAATAATAAATGTACATTATTTGCTATTCATGCCAACGATTCGAAGAAGTAACCGACATATTTTGATCTGCTCGGCTCATAATCAATTAAAAAAAGGCGGGGGTGCTCCGTTATCGCGAAGCGGTGTGTTTGATTTTGTTTCAATACCTACACACGCATTTTTTAGGCTAAAAAATGCAAAACGCCGTTTGATGTCGACCTTGGACCATTTTCCCTGTTCCCTATTTGAACACAATAATTTATTCGTCCGTGTTTTTTTTTCTCTCTTTCCCAAAACACCACTTCACGATTAGCATTGTTTGCATACCGAATCGTGTGCTGTTGTTATTATTACACACAAACGTAGTGACGGCTATCGTCGACGCGGGACACCAACCCAAAGTGTAATAAGACGGAGACACGGATTTTACACACACAGACCAACCGAATTTCTTATTCGCCACAACCCACGGACAGGCGGCGGCGGCCCACGTGCATTTCTATATTTTGTTATTTCGGCACCGAAAAATAGCGTTTAACGGAAACAAAATATAACAATAATACTAATGCATTTGCCGTGGACAATAATTTCTTATAGTGCGGCGACGGCGATGCAAACGAAATGGCCAGGTGAACTCGACAACAACAACAACAGCTGATCAGTAGTGTTCACAGGACTCGTGCCCATCACACCAAACACATCTGCCGTTTTCAGTGGTCATTAAAAGTCCACAAACAGGGTGGTCACGAGCAGTGGGACGGGGTCGAATAATATAGGTATAATATTGCGGGCACGCGATCAAAATACATCCAAACGCTACAATTTATAAATTATAATAATTATTATCGTACAAACATTGTAGTGCGAGAGTAAATTATCGTTGCGCGTTAAGGGACTGCTTGCCGGCCGGACGACGGTCAAGAGAAATAGCGTTTTCGACCTAAAACGTGTACATACATAAGCTAAGCACACAATTATTATTATAACGTATGAAAATATGTCCCAACTGCTACGAACAATAGGAAAGACACACGCACACACATACATACGATTCTATAGCACGTCCGACACGAGAGTGGATTTCTAAGAGAAAAAAACCAATGCTGGTGCCCTGAGGATCGTAAACGAAGGCTGAAACAGAGCGGTTGGCAATGACTTCTTTATGGGCCGAGATGTATAACAATAAAAATACGTGTAACGACAACAAACGACCATAGTAGTAGTTCCTCGTTCTTCGGCGGGTACCACACCACAACGTCGACCAAAACTCCACCAAATTACTTCTGTAATTTTATCGAAAACCGTACGGAGCGATTCATTAACTACGCATCAATTCACACACTATCAGTATTAGTACTCGGTACTTAGCCAATTATTATAGATCTATGCGAGTACACACACTTTGGGCGCATATAGTAACCCGTGGTGTACCCACCGCCACTCGCTCCAGATTAACACACCAACAGCTGTTGTACACATAATATAGTAAATCAACAAATAACAATAATAAGACTCCTAAACGACGTATCTTCGAGAACGGGTTTAAATCAAGTTACCGGTCATATCGCGCATAACGGGATCTCGACTTATTACCGTAATCGAAAAAAAAATTTAAAAAAAAAACATCAATAATAACAAACCGCAGTCGAGATGGCAGTACGGAACCACAATTCACTAGAACAAATTAAATTAAAAATAACATACAATCTATCAGCAGCGCAACGGTTAACTACTTTTTGCTAAACCAGTAATAATACCATTTAATTTGGATGT